AGTACACACACACAAGCTACATATTCCATCAAACAGTCAAGAATTTATCATCCTCTTACGCATCGTGCACATCACGTTAATTCATTCAATGTATAATTTAAGGCTGACCCTACCGCGAGTACGAATGACTGACATGCCAAGGTTACGTACGGACCAGCAATACTAACAACTTGTCAATAGCTTGGTATATTTTTAGAGATCCATTGAAACCCCCCCCCCCCCTCAAATATCCCCCTCTTTCAACAACTACCAGCAACCTGTACACCTAATAAAAGAAGACATGCAAATTACAAACAAAAGTAACAAACTGGAATATTATGGTAAACCTACAAAATTCAAAAAGAATACTTGCACACAACCATCACTGAAAATGTGAAAATTTACCAATTTTCAGCTGATCATAAGTGACTCACAATAACAACAATTTACTAAAATTTGTCACCAAGCAAAAGATACTTCCAAAGTACTATTTTAACTAGTAAAAAATTTTTACTGTTCTGATATCACTTTCTCTTTTTTTGCGGAACAATGTGTTGAAACAAAGTAAAAAAATAAGGATTACAACAAATAGCAAACGGATATACCGGTAATAGTAAAAAAAAAACATGCTTAGTTTGAGGAGTTAACGAAAATATCAATCTTTTTCAGTCCACTATGTTATTAAAGAAAGCTATTAATTTTTAATTCATTGAACATTTTTTTTTAACCCTTTGTGTTCCAATGTAAAGTTGACTTTATTGCATAAAAGAGAGATCAGTTGGAAAGATGTTTTGTACGAATGTCTGCAAACAAAAAATATGATACACTATCAGGGAATGTGTTGGCCGTGCCATATCAGTTCCATAACTAACACTATTACAATATTTAATTACTGATGTATAGGTTTCTGTTTAGCCATGAAAATAAGCTTCAAGTACAAGATATGGAATGTGATATTTAGAAATATGTGAAACATTTTTCACCAGTGTTTGCATTTTACTAAATATAAACATACTGTCATGCTTTTATTAATTTACATCAAATATACCATCTCCTCCTCCCCAAGGCTTATTTACCTTCAGTCTAACTATAGTTTCACAGCTGAAACAAAATTAACAAGATAAACAATCAGTCTCTTCAGTAAGACAATAGCGATTACATTGACTCTTGTTCTGATCTCTGTAATATTTTTAATGGATCCCATTCAACTGTCAGTCAATACAAAGTCGACTCAACAAGCTGACACTTTTGTGTATCCATTCCCATGACAACCAAACATTTCAATAGCCACTGATGCAGCCTGACGCAGCTGTGACAAAAAACCACTATAACCTTGTTTGTCTCAGAGCACATACGTACACACACAACCAACAAACATACTCCTCTGAGCAGAACAAATGAGAATCACTTATTTCCTGGGGATACTTTTTTTTTCTCCAATGGATATGTAATTGTCAAGAGTTGCCGTGTAATACTGTAATACCACAATTACCCTGTTTATTGATTTTAATGAAAGTAATATCCAAGTTGGAGTGCTGAGCAGTGTGGCAGCAGTCACTAGTGGCTTATTGACAAAATCAAAAGAGCAATTTTCAGTATACATTTACACATGACTGGTCTAATAAGAAAAAGACACGATCATCCCGGTTTATATCTCGGTCGATATGCATCGCTGAGAGAACGAATACAAAATGTTAAACCATGCTCTGATGTTTAGATTTTTTATTCAAAACTATGACACAAATAAATTATTCATATACATATATGTACTAAAAAAAAAAAAAACCAAATGGGATATCCACGCTATAAAACACCATGAAATTTGTATTGATAAATAATCCATACAACTATTCAAAGCTATTGAAAATAGTTTGGCAGGTTTAGAGTATTTCTGGAGAACGGCAAGGAGGGCCTCGAGTGCCTCTCCACCTCGCTATCACCACAAGATTTCTCTTCATATGTAGATCATTATACAGGTATGCAAATAATGATGTACTATGAAAATGTGCCAATATTTATCAGTAACTGCAAAAATAATATTTCTTGCACAAACACAAAACAAATTCAAGTTTGATTTTTTTTTAAAAAGGCATCCATATGAAACATAAGGTTATAATGAATCAACAATCATCATCTTAAAAGGTGAAAAGATAAAAATTATAGACAGCAGTCTGAAAGACGGCTGATTGATGGCCATTTTTTTTTCTCATTTTGCATGTCCTAAACAAATAGGCCAGCTTTTTTTTTCAGGCACACATTTCAATCACTTTGCAAGCTATTTTTTTTTTGAATGATAATCAAATAAAGGCAAAAATTATCACAAGTTGAAAGTTACTAATCACTCCTAATACTGTAAATTAGATGTTTGATTTTTTTATTGCAAGCAACACACCTGACCTAGTTTCAGTTAATTAAGTTTTTAGGTCTAGGTGCAAGAACTGTAATTTATTTACAGGTGAGCTGAATATGATACAATGACTACTGGAAAGGGGACCAGTTCCCATCATGCAGTAGACTAGCTTTGTGTCACAGTGACAGTTTAATTATCTCAAATAGTTTTATTTCTGCATGTCTTTTGTAAAGAGAATAGAATTGTCGATTGTTGAAATGTTTTCAAAATATTTTACTAATATCATACTACTGGCAATAAGAAGATTCATAAAAAAAAAATCAACAATGAGAACATGTCTTTCTCGCATTCAATGCACCAAAAAAATGTGAAACATCCTTTGACTAGCAATGAGTCGCCATACAAGAGTCATGCTAGCATACTCCACCCCCTTTCTGGCTAATGATTGGCTCTTACAATTCACTGATTACAGTTGTCATGACAACAGACACAGGCAAGACAGAAGGCATACAGCTTAACGACCTGACCAAGCTTTGAAAACATGGGTATTTTTGGCGGTTTTTAGCACAGTATTGCACAAAACTTTCTTTTTTTTATAATTATAACTAGTAAGTACAGAAGAATAACTGATTTATAAGAAACAACCATCTGATGCAATCCATTCTGAACAATAAAAAAGAGAACCTTTACCAAGATCGATGCACTCATAAAAGAAACTAGTCTGTGAGCAGGTATTTTTATGTTATCGTTTTACGTCCTATTACTTGTCTACATTTAAATACACACATGTGTTCCTGAAGATAAAAAAACAGGTTTTTATCTTACTACGGGTCAATCGATGCACTCGCAGCACCTAGAAAATCAGTCTTGACCAAGCTTACCCGGTATTTATAGTGGGCATTGAAAAGTAGCTTTACTGAACAATCTACTACAGTACAGTCATTGAATCTCCTGGCTCACTTCCGTTGCAGAGAATAGCCCATTGATGTTCATTCACTCAAAAGAAAGGCTGGGTAAATAGGAAGAGAGGGTTGCATTCGGACTTTGTGTGTCTTTATATGGACTGGGGGGCTTTTTCACACAGATAGATTCCAGCAAAAAAGAAATTTAACAGTTTAGTTTACCACACTACAAGAAAGAAGTTTTTTTTAAGGATTAACCATCAATCGTCGGTCACTAACAGAAAGTTTGCCATCTGCCTTAAAACAGTGTTAACACCTCCCAAAAAACTTAAAATTACACCTACCCTGATGAGGGCAATGGAAAGAAATGTACTTTCCAAAAAAATTAAAATGAGTCATTAATACGCCTCTGAACAGTGATTACTTCTACACACAATCAAGGTTTAACAAAATAAACTCCAGTGTAGTTGATCATACACGACAATGTACCATATTATCTTGTTGAAGTTCCATTAAATGTTTGTACACCTCACCATGCATCTTGGCAACACTTGGTGATAATGATCATTACAGAAAGGGGTTTGATATAGAACTTGAAGATAAATGTTCTACAATCCAACTGATATACACACACACACACATGCACACCATGATAGAGGATTATCAGTCTTTTGTGGAAAATAGTGATTTGCATCAAGCCTTGACCTTGACAATGGTGTGTACCTCAACTGCAATCAAGTTAAAATTTAGCTTTGACTGTTTTGTGGTGAAATTTGTTCAACAGTATTTACACTAGAGTGCCATGTGGCACTGAGGAAACAAGTGTGTTAGTGATAATGTACAATACATGTTGCCATGGAAACTAGTTTATTGAAAACAATTTTTGAGAATAGTTTGACCCAGAAAACTTAAACACCACTTGGTCCGAACCAAGCTGTGGATGCTTGCCATCCTGCATTGCTTTCAGTTTCGTAGAAAGAGGGGAAACAGAAATGAACAAATCATTTATAAACCAATTTATCAGAAGGCCAAATACGCACAATAAAATATACTGATTATAAAGCAGGTGCAGTAAAGAAAAAGTCACTGTACCGACACTAAATATTAACTGTACTACCATTAACGGTAATGATTGAGAAACAAAAATAATTCACCAGTATATGGTCTTTATTACCATGTAACACGACAAACCAGGTTATATTACCAAGTAATATATGACAAACACACCTCCCATCCGGCCAATGACCCTTGGTGCTTGCTAAAAATACACCAACTTCCTAGACTACATACATGTTATAATAATATGGTTCCACTTTGCAAAGTTAACATTTGTCTATTTCCAAGAACACTAAATAGACTCTCATACACTCTTGATGTTGAAATGCACGTTATATTTACTAAAATTATTCACAGATAGAGATTCAAATGAAGGACATATTCTGTCCAGAAAAACAAAGAATCAACTTTAGGTCTATGCATGGAGCTTTTTTTTTTAGCTCCATGGTCTATGGTACACTTTGAAGTTTACCACAGCAAGTAAAAGTCCACCACTGAAACACTCTCAAAGATAACCTTCTTTAAAATTACTTGTAGTTGTACAGGCTAACAGACTTCCACAGAGTGATAATGACCAAATTTGGGCATGCAGATGTAACAGAAAACACGGGAGCCATGATAAATGGAAGAATAAGAGAACAATAAAAAAAAAGTACGCGAAGTTTAGGCAAGTGTTATTAACACTGTCCCCAGATTTCACACACGATACTCACCGAATGCAACAAACTGGAAGTGAAGTCGGTAGTTCTATAAAAGTTCGGTTCTTCGTACTCCCGTACTTGGAATAAATGTGGCAGTCGGCTCGTCTGGCAAACGTATATACGATTGTTCGCTCTGGTCACAAGTTATTAGCGTCACACAGTCCACAAATTCTGAATAAAACACGTGCAACTGGAGTCAATGAACATACAAGAATCAGTGAGCAATTGCTTTCGAGGTTTAGACACAGAGTTTCAAACAAGCAGCTCAATGTTACTCTCGATAGATCATTTTTGATTTTCGTTAAAGCATAACGATACGACAATAATACATTCAGATGAAAGGGCCTGCACCAGTACGAAAAACGGAACGGTCGATCACGGGTTCATGACAAACGGAACTAAGCTCAAAATGGCAGACAAAATCCTGAGAACGGCAAACGTTTTGCTGCGCAACTAGTAAACACTTGTTTACCAACACTATTGTGTCGTGACAGTCCAGTTGGCCACCTCAACTAGTACCAGCTTTAAAAACGTGTACATTTGTGCAAACAGGAAATAGAGAGGCCCACCATCACGTCATATCTGCGTATGCTGGTATTAGTAATACATACACGCTGCGTTTCGATTCACTTAAAATTTAGCAGTACCAGTTCCGCAAAAGCGAGGAGCGACGGACAAGTGCAATTGTTTGCAAAGGACTTCAAGTCGTACCTGGCTATTTATATCAACAACACATATTTTGAATCTGACTCACAGCTGAGTATGGCCCGATAGGGGAACCCACTTCTAAAATTGCGACATGTGGCAAGCATGGCCTGCCAATCTAGTGTAATCCAACATAAACAATACGACACTGCTTCGAAGCAGTGAGTTACTCGGCGTTCATTGTAGCCACACATAGGATAACCTATCACATTTATTTAAATGACAGTATTTTAACTAACCTTTCGTTATTCCCGACAAATACAGCACAGATATCCACAGCTATAAAGTCCTACGCTTATCTAATTTGGAAACAATGGTGGCCCATCCTGAACCACATGAACTACGCCATCTGAATCGCCATTATACATCCGGTTACTGTCCTACTCCCTTACAACGCGCAACTTGCAAACTAATTTGGATATTTGAGACAGAAAATATATATTATATATCCGGAATAAAATGAAAACATTCTTCAATGACACTATAGTAAATGCAGGAATTAAATTAAATACAGAAATACAAAATAAAATTGATGTTTTACTGGAAATCCTTAGGGAGGTTGACTATTCATGTAACGGCCGATGATAGCGTACTAGCAACCAATCACATTTGTCGTTACATTTTACCGTTATGTAAATAAGGTACCCCAATTTTGGCGCCAAAACCGACTTTCTTCAAAACAAACACACTTATTGGTTCTCTTCGGGGCTGTTGTAATCAATAAAATCACTCCCTGCCAGGCTTTGTGACGCGATCCCGCTATGATTCCGCGGTTCTCTTTCTCTCGGAAATAATATCCAATCATTTGGCACAGAAACAAAGAAAGTTAATTTTAGGAGCATGAATTATTAATGTCAGTAGATCATGCTATGTTCTCCGTGACAACAGAATCACATTAATATACACAAAGTATGTGCAGCAGATGACGAAAGCTGCGGACAGCCATACTTCAATCTTGTTTGTTGCTATGGGAACTGCCACAGGCTTACTGCGTCTCTGTAAATAATCAACCTCCAGTTTCCTAGCAACGAGAGCCACAGATGAAGCATTGAATTCGTATCGATAACAAATTTCGCCGTGGACCAAACAAGACGTCTTGTTTTCGATTTCATTGACCGTATTTCAACGTCGATTACATAATCACTGCATTTTCACTTGCAATAATTTTTTACTCTTTTCGCTTGAGTGGTAAACTCGTCAACAATTAAAACGTTGGTAACATATATTCAATGTTTAGCTTTTAACTCGCCACGAATTCCTGAAAACAAATTACAAGCAACATCTTACAACAACATTGATTTCAGCTGCACACACGTTTCTACGTCGATCGTATGGAGTCCATAGTTGGTATACTAGTTGTTGAGGGTGTATTCTGCAGCGAGTGATAAGAAATAAACATCGAGTTGTTTTCTTGGGATGGCACATTATCTCTATGTAAAAGCGTACACCAAGTAGAACTTCGTATAAATGGGCCATTGTTTGTAATCGGAAATGAAATTCCACCCATTCATTACATAGTAAATACTAGTATATCCTTCAAGTACGTATTGAAATGTGGTTGTTGTTTTTTGGGGCACAACAACCAACTCATTCTTGCCATGCTCCGATATCGCTTGTACTATTGCATACAAAGTTGATGTTGCTCGTATAGTGGTCTATTTGTATTTGTCTTACCCCTCACAACGCCCATTCTATGCATTCTCATCATTGCGTAAATAGCTTTTACGTAAATTTGACGTGTATGAGTTGGTACATGGTGACATATTTCGCTAACCCACCAAAGATAGAGTGACAGCGTGCGTCAATACAACCATTGGCATATTAGGGATCGACCATTTGAAATTATGGGGGGTGGCTGAAAGATTTGTTGAAAAAAAAAATACAAACTAGACACCAAGAGAACAAAAATGCATGAAGGGTGCTGCAGGGACAAAATATTGGCATATTTAGGTAAAATGGAAATAGGAAAAGTACAGACAAGACACTACGAAAATAAAAATGCCCTGGTCACACTTTTCTAGCCGCGCCCCATGATTCAAATGGTCGACCCTTATATCTCATGGTACAAAATACGTGAAACGATAATTTTCTTCTTTGTCTACCACCTTGTGTACACGTTTTCACCCCAGTGATCACACGGCATGCTGTATTCATACGGTTTAAAGTTTACCTGGCAGCGACGGTAAAATACACTTTTATGGGTACGTCAACACCCTTTAGTGTGTCCGGAAACGATTAATCACTTTTGAAGATTAAATCGTCTCTAGTAGGTCATTGGGGTCACCAACTGACTTACCAGTAACCACCTCCATTCATCTGAGATAAGAAAAACAAGTGATAATGGGCATAGGTACGAGCTGTTGCTATAGCAACACGGATGCTATTCCCAAGACCCATTGTCTAGTGCTATGGAAATTCGACACTACTGTACATTTTCACCTGTCCCTTACAGTGTCGTTATTATTATTTTTAGTTGGTTAGTAAACCCCCTAATATAGCGTAACGTTCTATTCCCCGGAAATCCCATCACTGGAGATGGAGATGTTTTTGTAACTAAGTTATCTACATGCAAAACTACCGCGGTAATGAGAATTCACATGGGGGGGGGGGGTACCCAACGTTAATCTCGGGATCTTATTGAACTTGAAGATCGATAATCACATCCAAGTGGGACCTCCACAACCAGATGTAATGACTAATAGCATGTTGCATAATATGAAATATTAATATCCCTATAATCATAGAAAATATACTTCCGGAATCGTGCGTGAATCATCGTAAGTTGCACCATGATGACGTTTTGCCAAGAACGGAAAGATGTGACAAGGATAAAGCACGTTATTCATCAACATAGCCGTTACCTGTAATTACTTTGGATTTATCACAAATTAACTTAACGAACTGAACAGTTTTGGGGGTATTACTCACATCCGAGATAAAAATTACTTCGAGAACTGTTTTCGTGTCCCCATTTTTCGATTGTTTTTCTTATTAAGTCAATAACAGCCCGACAAACATGCCACTCGCCGTTCTGGTCGATGACCACGACATAGTTTTACAATGGAAGAAATGCTTCACTTCCATTGGTACACTGCGCTGTTGAAAGATGGGTGACGTTTCAATCTGAATTTGCATATTCACACAAAGCAAGCGGTTACACACTTACACCCGGAGCAGGGCGATAATGACCACACACTACAATTTGAATACAAATATGTACTGGTAATTATATGTGTAATATTATACATATATATAATTAATGGGGCCGACTATTAGGCATTTTATTCTTTGACAAACGCAAACAATTCAGACCGCCATTTCCATGTAAATGTGTATAATAATATAGTATGTTTTTGGCCAGGAATAATATACTGTGCCATAGTTCCTCTATCACAAATGAGTGTTCCGTGGCTAATATACAACTATAGATTAGTATTCCATTCCATAAATATGTTTACAAACTAGTAAATATTTAATAATTGAGTTACTTGCTGCAACAGTATGTTCTAGACCATCCCTTGACTGTTGAATTAGTGCTAATATGCTCTCTGCCATGGCAACAGTTCATGTGCATTTATATCAAAGCACGTGTCCCATTGATAAGCCTGGTCAACAAATTCAAATTTCAGAATATCTAGCGTTTTTAATTTATAGATTATTTACAAACGATGAGACCTGCAAATGTTATTTTATTACGGTGCCTCATTATCTTAATTGATGTTGTTCTGATTTTGAAGTGGCCCGAGATTTAGTATCTTGGTTGTACTCGAGAAGTGAACAACGCCCTCGCCGACCGGCAGGAGTTAATTATTATTCACGCAGTGAATCTACAAACAAGTTGTCTGATAATGAAATTATGTTCCCAAAATTAGCTATATTATTACTGCTATGTGTTTACTATTGTGTCAATCATAGCATGTACTATGACACAATTTTGAGAAACATGTATACATATCGCAGTTTTGACTTTCAAATAGCCGCAAGCTAGTTACTAAAAATATAGGAATAGTTAGGTGTGAAAATGTGTCAGTGGCGTCTACCCTTGAAGAAGAACTTTTAAATAACATATTATATCCCCTACTAGTTAATGACACGTACATAAATTTGCATAATATATTTTTAAGGATGTCGATGTCTAATACAATTATGATTATAACACAAATTGGGGTCACCAGACACTTAAAAACTGTTGAACCTATGTAATATATTTCACAATGATTTTTTATCGTCTTTTTTACAAATAAAACGTGTTGTAGGTTAGGCTATGCTCACCTTTAAATGTGAGTCATGACGATTTCTATAAAAAAAGAAAATTGCAAAATAACATTACTTCTCCACTAACTTTTGGCAGAATAATAAATATATCATAATATAATGGTAGAATGGTTGTCATAGTTATTAAATATCAAATGAAATCAATTTTCGTCGCCATGACAGCCGATCATCTTATTATTCGTTTTCGGCTAGGCTTTTACTTGGTGTCTACGTATGCGTGATATCACAATCATGCCTTCTATTATCATTTTGTAATGGATCTGAATTTCACATTGTGTACTTGGCGATTGTAGTATGCGACCAACAACACGTGCCTGTTTGCTGCGCGCTAATAAAAACATGTGTATTTGTGGAATTTGTAACTCGGATTCACACGTTTGAATAAATACCATTGGTATGTTGAATATATTCTAAAGAGCATGAAATGATGAAGAAGATTTTCGACACTGTGAAATTCTTTCTTTGAAATAAAAACCAAAAAGCTGAAAACAACTTCTTTTGAACAGTGAATTGAGAAATATATTAAAATATATTTCATAGCTCAACTTTAATAAATGAGATTTTACTTGGTAAACACTAAGTATATACTGTAATTAAAACAAAAAGATTTGTCAGTGGCGAAAACGGAAAGTCATGACGATAAAGCTCCGTGGACCAATACGCAATCTCCAAACTCGTTTAAAAAACCTCAGTTTAGGCAGACTTGTAATTAGAGGGTCAATATTTTACATCACGTTATTCTTCTCTGATTGAAATAATAAAATAACAGTTTTCTTATATTAGCCCCATCTTCAGGTTTGTTGTATGATATGCCCACTTTAACGTTGAGTTGCACCATGTTGTCAGAAGGAAGTGCCATAAAAATATTTATTGTAATTGATATAAAGATACTCAGAGAGGAACATACGAAATATATGGCAAACCTTGCAAAATATTCTTTAAAACTGGTGACCCATTGTAAGTTGTAAAATTTAGAGTTGGCATAATACGTAATTTTTTTGAGGATTTTTTCCGAAACTAACAGAACTGAAATCTGTACTTTCGGAATGGTGTTTGTTGTCGATGTCATCTATAATTTTAAATACAATGTTCGCTTTGCCCATGCTTCTAATGCAGCAATATATTACACGAGAAAATAAAACAATGTGGAGTGTTAGCTTTGCTTCTTTTGCCAAGTGTACCTTATTCAAACTTCCACAGAATCTGACGACGAATGCGACGCCATAGATAATTGCATGTGGTGACCACAATCATGCAAATAACTCGCTTAATACTAAGTCATTTTCGTCAGCCAAATTTGTATACATGCAGTTAGACAATAATCATCGTTGAGGGAGATATCCTCTCAATTCGAAGACAAAAGTACGGTACGGTGATAGGCATTCCATGGAGTGCAAGGCTATTTTAATACAAAGAGCTGCTCCCTGCGTACCATCCTGTCATGCATGGAGTACATCAATTAAACGACAGAACAATGACGCCAGATCCACTTTATAGAGCAGCGGTTATATTATCTATGTCTCAGCAAACCATATTGTTCACACTCCGGAACAATTAGCCCCCATGTTCCTCGTAAATGTGGCCGGTAAATACGATTAATTAACCGAGTGGTATATGGCCTGTCATGGAATTGAGTTATATGGGGGGAGTATTGTTAACACTGATGAGATCAGACTATCATTGAACATGCTTTTTTCAGTATTGGGTGACCTGGGATGGATACATATACAAACACTAAACGACAGTTGAAATTTTGATGTAATTAAATAAAGAAAAAAAAACAACATTGCACAGGTACCCAATTAACATTGGAACCAAGGCAATTCAAGTACCCCTGGGACCGGCGTACGTGAAAGATACATGTTATACTTGGGCTTGGACGTCATAAATTCTTATAACTATATAATTATAATAACAAAAGTAAGACGATTCAGACAATTTGTATATTTTACACGACAAAAATATATATTAGCTTTGTTCACTAGACAATACCAAAGAAAATTACGATTTATGTAGTGGAACTTGTACAGAATTGAAAAAGAAAAATGCTGTTGAAAATAAGAATATGGATAAATAAATGCAAAACGTGTTAGCATCAATATGCACTGTTAATAGAAAAGTGGAGTGAATCGATAAGCAAATCATGTTCAACATATACCTTGCACTGGCCTTGCAAACATTGCGTTTTGTGTATTTGAATATACAAGCTGACACACTTATAGGAAGAATAGAATGTTCTACCTATGTGCTAAAATGTCGAGACAAAACAGTATTGTTTGGGAAAATGAACACAATACGAAGCTACAACCCATCACTCTCCTTGTAGCATTGTCATTGTGTACGAAAAACATCCGTTATCAGGCACCACACGGTTTTCAGTTCCAATTATGAATTGTACACGTGGTCCTATAATGGAAATATCCCAGCATTCAATACATATAACGAATTGAGAGTACGAGCAGAACTTCCAAATTACTGACAAAAAATCTTGTAACCAGATGTGATATTTGGAGTCAGGAAATTAAGACCAGCACAGAACCCCATACCACTACAAGACAGAACTTACATACATGGTTGAAAGTAGAGGAATATACGATATTTCTATATACTGTATTAATTCCAGAAATGTACATTGTATTAACACACAAGATAATAAAAAAACGTGATGCATGGGACACATCTCTAAACTCAATGAACCGCATGAAAACACATGCTGCAGGAAGCGCAGTGTCCAGGATAGCCACCGTTGATGGCGCTATACAACTTCAGAGTCTTGATAGGTTAATAGTTTTCTATTGTACGACAAAATAGAGCGACAGTGTGGAAACCAATAAAAACCACATCTTTTAAGCTCTTCTCGAGGCGTCAAAAAGTCTAACATGACACGTTTTGTCAAAATGCGGATGAACTGAGCTGTCTTAGTATGCATTGGTATAGCAATACGTAATATTCCACTAGGAAGACCTAATAAATACAACTGCGAAATAAATTGAAAACTCATCTGAAAAAAATAAAAAAAAAAAGTCTCTAAATTTACTGATAAAACAAAAGCTTATCAGTTATTGTTGTAGTTTATTTCAGTGACTGTAATTTTATATTCTAAACAAATATGAACAGATGATGTAAATTATATTCACTTTGTGCAATGGTTACAACGAATTACAGACTTTAATAAGATAAGGGTTGATTATTTTAACAACGTCATTGATGAAGGCACAGTTTTCATGGGTTTTACAAGGTCGTTTGAGTTATTAAAAACAAACAAACTTTTTTTATTTACTGTCCATCAGCAAATCATTCTCGAAGCAATCACTGGAAATACATTGCAATGTTTAGTAAACATTCACTGCATATTTGCAAATTGAATTCACATGTAAGTGTGCAGGCTACTAATAAGGCAAATAAGGCATTTTATTTTTACTATTAGAGTGAAAAACGTTAAGTTTATGATGAACTTCAACAAACATAACAGACCATTCTTATCACTTTGACAATCCAGTTTCCATGGTAACATTGTTATTTACCAATCCATACAAATGAAAAAATTATACGGTCATGTTACAACTGATAATCATTTTATATTTGATCACCTGATTTTAAGGATGAACTAAGCAAAACGTTACTAAGAAAAGCCAGTGGAATTAGAATCTCAAGCAGGCTCTGTCGAATGGCTGCTCTTGTCACCGCTGTTTCTACCAGCCCTCCAGATTATTGCAAGTAATTATGAAAGTTTTTGAAAATTTAATTCATAAGCATCTATGCATATCAACGCTTTATGTTTGGCAGAGTTGTATATGATTTGGTCATAACTATCCCACAATACACTATGATTTGAAATTGCGATATAGTTAAGCCAAATAAAATCGTGTTATTTTAGTATACATTGGAAAACAGGTAGGTAGGTATAACTTTTGTCATTTTAGCCACAAAAAAATGCAGGATTGGCATGCAAAATCTAGTCAAAAAAAATTTGTTTAAGGCGAAGGTTAAACATGGCCACCAGTCAACCATTTTTTATCTGAACAGAAAGGAAAAATTATTGGACTTATACATACCATCATGTACCAAATTTAAGGAAAATGAACTTCTGAGATAATGCAACGAACCAAAGGACAGACTGACGGACCCAATTCAAGTCCCAGTCCAGCTGGGGGCAAAAAAAAGGATACTTTCAGAGAATAATGAGAATAGTGAAAAATATTGTATTCAAAAGTTTGTGCAGCGGATATATAACATTTTGTCTAACTGTTGTCATGGTAACTGTTGTCACACCATTTAACAGATACACATACATGGGTAGGAAGAATGTGAAAACCTGAAAAAGAGTCTAATAAATTGATAAAAAAAATATATAGTTATTTTTCATTACATTTATCTTATTTTGTGATTACCAAAACTTAAAAACTAATGAAATATATGAAAAAATAATTAAATTATAAAGTTAAAATTTGTTGAGAAGTCATCATGGACGGATAAAGACTGACATAAAAAAAAAATAACAAAAATTTTTTCTAATAATTAAATAATGATACATGATCATACTTCTGTGAAACAGCGCTAAAGGCAAGGTAATGCTTAAAAAAACAGCTACAGGGCTTTCAAAAAAAGATAACAGACTAGGAGATTATTATCTCAGCCATTAGTGTTCAAAATATTGACTGAGAGTTGGAGTCGACACACCCCTCGTCTCCGGAAGCATTGATGATATAATATTGTGGTTCAATGGGCTGTGCATCTATTATAAATCTTCTAGGTGATATTTCATCATGAATTCAAAGTCTTTATAGCTAACTCTCCCATCGGCGTCTCTGTCAACTTCTCTGAAGGCCGCTTCGACTCGATGAGCAGCAATGTGTGGAGCAACATGTGAAAAAGCCTTCTTCAAGTCGTCAATTGTCAAAAAACCCTTACCTGTGTGCAGAGAATGAATTATTGATGAAACAAATACACCAAAAGATAAAAAAATTTTAATTGTTTTTCTTATTTAAAAAGTAACCAACGATAAGTAATTTACATTTTGTGGTTGAACTGAAAATGTATTGACGTTGCACAAAATCCAAGGCCACCCACTCGGATAAATAAATAAAATGTTGAAATGATAACGTAAAGTTTAAGAAGATAATCATACTTCCAATGGAGAGAATATCTAGATTTCAATGCTGTATTTATTCTATTACAAGTTACATGCATTTATGCAAATGATCTAATACGACAAGTAACATACTGTAAATGCATTAATTATTTACTGTTTTTTAATTTCGCTATTTTCGCTGATAATTAAATTTCGCTGATAATTAAATCCACATGAGCTTGTAGATTAACAATAGAATTCATTGTTTTTCTGCCAAGTTCATGAATAGTGTAAACAAAAAGTCAGTCCAAATAAATGATTTTACATTTATAGTTCATTTTATAGTTTCACACTACTGTGCATGCACTGGATGCAGTGCATTATGGGAGAAGGGCGTCCTTTTTGTATATAGTGGAAAACGTATCACACTGCAAACTCACTAAATAAAATTTTTTTAAATGTTTTAACAATATTAGGATTAATCAATAATTATAAAATGTATACAACTTTTTCAGTTTATGTCACGAAACAAAATTTTGATATATGAAGTAATTTCACCATAAAAACCAAAGAAAATTTGTGCCATTTTTCCATGATATTTTAATGAAAAGTTTTACAAAAATTACATACATGTATCTTCAATTATAATTTGGCCTAAATCTCCTCCTTAAGGGATATTCTAAAAATAATTTATGTACCCTCAGAAATACCACTCTCCCCCTTACACGAAAGTTTGAATTTTACATCATTTTATGGATAATAATTACAAATGATCTCCAACCTTTTCATCACCAGAATTTCTCAACCAAATTTTTCTGCACTTTTTTCTTATATTCTTCAATAGTTCTGGAAATGAACCCTAATTTTGGAGCCAAAAGAAAAAATTTGAGTAAATTTTTACTCAAACAATTTGCCTATTTTTGTCCCAATCTTCTGAAGGAAAGGTGCAGACTATAAACAGGACTATTTTGTGAAGAAAAGAGGGAACTGGTGGTGAAAAGATTATACACAACATTGGTGAAAGTTTAATACAAAAAGCAATAATATGAAAAAAATGCGATCACAAAAAAAAAGTATGTCATTTACATCGTCGAGGTATAATCTGTTTATTTGATTAGTCACTAGAGGGCAGTATTTCCCAACTTTTAGTACTGTTGTGTAAGATTCTGAAAACAGTTTTTGTATAGCGTTTTAATTTCAGGTTGATTGACATTGTATTTTAATTGGACTGATGTAACCATATTAACCTAAAATTAAATTATTTTAAAGCTTACAAGTACAAAACTTACACTGCATATCAAACACCATAAATGTCTGACGAATCTCATCATCCCTGTCAACTACAGACATCTTTGAAGACATCACTTGAATAAAATGTTCAAATGCCATACCTGTAATGATAATAATAATAATAATTATGAAATAATAGTTTTCTAATTTTTGAGGGTGTTTATTTAATATGGCTTATGGAACTACTTTTTTTGGGTTTGGTGTAATAGTCAGGGGGTGAACCTAGATTTGTTTTTCCTGGTTCTTTTCTTTATAAAAACAAAACAAAAAATAAACCAGCAAAAATGGAAAAAAAAATATACAAATCTTCTGATTTCAGGGGGTTTGTATGAAACCACCCCTCTCATGTATCCAGCCCTGAAAATTTATACTACCCGTGTTAAATTTTGCATCATTACCCAAAGTAGTCCCATTATCAGATTTGTTAAATAAACATTTTTTATCAAAATCGGGGTAAGGAATATCTCTGTCTAATGTTAACCAAAAATAACAGAAACATGCTAAATAAAATTACCCAAAATAATAAGTCTGACATAAGTACATTATATAGTCTATGTATTGGTGCTATAAGGCAGACATTGGTGACAAACTGGGTAAAAAGGTGGGAACTCTATCTATATTGCACATAATTTGTCACAAAAGATTAAAGATTGAGCCATCAAGACGTTGCAAACCCACAAAATTAACTTTCAATCAACTAAAATAAGGTGTTTTATTGATCAAACAATAACATAGCACGCTTAATAGCAATTCTGAATTGAATGAACCGTTTAAATGCAAGTTGCCAAATGGTACTAATACGAATCTATAGACAGAATGATTAATATTGTCAGGGGTACAGTGTCCTCTAGAGGCAGGTTTTGTAATCCCTGTTAGTTATCATATTTTCCAGACATATTCTAGCATTGTTTAAACATTGAACAAATTGACATACAATTTAATCAGTTTCCAGTATGATAAAATTTTTCCAATATTATATACAATAGAGCTCTCTCCCATAATGCACTGCAAACTCAGCTCAACTGCCTTAATACAGGAATTAATAGGGGCAAAAAAACAGATGATTATGCAAGATATGTTGGTATTGTTTTAGCACAGTTTAACTCCACGGAGAGTTACGGAAATATTCAACCCACTTTCTTTAAAATGCCCCACTTTCAGGGTCAAGCAATCATTGCTATCAAAAAGTCTAGCAAAAATGTGGAAAAAAGCAAAAGGTGACCTTAACATTCAGAAGGTTAATGTGAAAATACATAAATAGAAGAAATTTATAAGGAATGAACACCAAGATTAATTTCCAATGTGTAAGTCGGTTTTATCTTACTGTATGCGACAGATTATTTACATTTCACTATCCATGCCGATTTTCTCATGACCTTTTGCCCTTCAAATAATAATACTTACGTGGAGTGCCATCAATGATTTCTGTTTGTTTCATCAACTCTTCTACTTCATACTGAAAATATGCATAATAATGACATTATTGATATTACCATATTTGCTCTATAAGTAGTTTATGTGATTACGTCACATGAATGACAGAGACATGTTTGTTGATTCTGGACCAATTCGCTAGTCTATTATTGGTAAATTTTCATAACCTTACAATCATAGACGGCATGAAGACTAGAAATCAGGTGAATTGATGACTAAAATTAAAGCTTTTCCACATGCAAGGAGGAAATCAATACTTTTCATCAGTACTTTATTGACATTGAGAAAAGCATCATGTTCAAATGTAATTGTTTAAAAACAGTGTCTTTGTCCAATGAATAACACATCTGAATGTGTGAACAGAAAGGATGCCATCATTTCTCACCCCAGACATTTCGCACATGTGAAAAGCAGACATTTTGGCCACATGAGATGTTGAATTGTTCGAATTACAGACATCAAGTTATGAAAACATTGAATTACAAAAATGACCATGCCCATATTTTAGAAACCACGCCCAAATTATAACTTGATGTTCAATTAACAGTTAACAGAACTTTGAGATACGGCAGTATACGTTTTTGTTGAAAGTCCACATTTAGTAACTCCTCTTTAAATAACTTTAATTTTATGAGTTATGAAAAAATAAATATAAATATGCTGTACTTGTAACACATGAGATGATAGTAAATACAATATGTAAAAGTTATGAGAAAATAAATATAAATACACCTCTTATATATTATCAACAATTGGATATTAAGGTCAAATGAAATAGTGTGTTTTTAATATACATTGAAAACAAAAATAGGGAGACTTAGGTGTGGGTCGGCAAGAGGTATTTTCGTAAGCTGTAATCAATTGTTTTTATTTTCGGAATAATATAATTTAAATAAAATATGTATATAAATTCGTAGACATAGGCAAGGTGAAAAATGTAATCAGCTATTTTATTCGGCCGTTATTTCACAAAAGATCTTATTATTTGTGAGCATATAAAGCATTTTCATACGTTATTTCTAATTTTGATTCTCAAGTATAACATAAAAATGTAATTAGGAATTTGCTTTATCTGTAAAGTGTAAAAACCTAGTTTTTACTGTAAATGGAACTTTCATTTTATTTACTATAAAAACGTAAAGTACCTTTTTTTATTTCCCGTAACCTGTAACAATAAAATTTTTCATTTTGTCATATTTTGTTTTGTATATTTTGTGAGAAGAGTTTAACAAGCCTGCAGCTGGAAACAGGAAGTGAGCGCCATCTAGTGGCCACATTTTAATTCAGTCACAATGATACAGGATTGGAATGAAAATCTTGGCAAGAAAACTTACCAGTAATATTTTTTATTTGGTCTTACGTGAGGAAAAGCTATACCTGTCTGTGGTTCACATATAAATAAGATGCAGCATACCACAATGCACCATTGGAATACCACAATGCACCATGGGGATACCACAATGCACCATGGGAATACCACAATGCCACATTGAAGTACCACAATGTGCCTGCTTTTAAAAAGCAGAGACAGTTTACAGAAACAATGTAGAGCACTTCAATTCACTCTAGACAAATTCCATGAGCCAGTGAAAATTGCAAAGTTTTGTAGCAGTGACAATATAACTTTTTGAATCATTTTTGAGTCATTAAATCATCATTATATCATTAAACAACAAAAATTAAACAGTTAATTATTCGTAAATAAACACCTACATATATATAAACACTGTGTTCAATTCACATAAAATGTCATTGTACTGACTGTAAAATTATGTAAACCAATCATTACCTTAGTTGGTTTGTAACCAAGGAGTGATACAAACGCTACTTTGACGTCTTCATGAGATAGATAGCCCTTCTGACCTTGGTCACATTCATGGAAAACCTGTAGTAAAAATTATCAACAGTCAAAAAACTGTACGGTAAGTTCCACTGACTATAATAGTCATTCTTGAATAGGATAATACTTGATGTAAGTCAATACTGAGATTCCAAGCTGTGATGTCAATGAAATTAAACTTGTCTGAATAACAGAAAGCAAAAGGGTCCACTAATACATCAGATATTGTCAAATTTTTTCATAATAAAACGGGAGAAAAATTTATCAAATTTTAGAAAGATTGGTATATCTGACAGTATTTTTAAATGTTCTCAAGAGACGTGGCGTGAAACAGTCACATGCAACTAGTAGTCATTCTTCGTTCTATGATATCATTGAATCCAAAACACACACTAGCGAGTCAAAGGTATAGAATAGAATAGTGCGTTACACTGTAAAATGTAAGCGTCTCAGTGCATGCAACAAGTTTAGAACTGCCATTTTGTTACCCCGTTTTTCGATAAACATTGTATACTTAATTCATTCATATTCTACTAGTTCATGTCATACTGTTAATCTGTTGCATAGGCATGTTTTGTTCTGAAATTCACCCGTCGGAAATCAATATTCAAGGTTTGCACTTGTGTCTCAGCAAGACGAGTCCCACTTACAAAATTTAAAAAAATAGAAATTTTATCCTGGATAACCTTATTAGAGATTGGACCCCAGCTTGCCTGAAAAAAATGGGTCCTTCTTCAATAATTGTAGTCAGGGAAGCAAAATATGGGGTTAACGCAATCCCTGAATATTAATATTATTGTGGATTTTGTGTGTGTATGTGTGTATTATTCAACGTAATCTTACACGTCAAACATTGAAAATCACATTCAAAGAGATGTTACCACAAAAGACCACAATCGCATGTAGTTTCTAGCGCATTGGTTGAATGCACAGTATAACTAAATATATTAGTGTTTCACATTAAAAAATCCCATAATGCCACTGCATGTAAGTATCATATTTGATTTACAGTATATGCTCTATTAAAAGTCCAACTCCAATAGCGATGCAGGTGAGACAAAAAAAAAAATGTAGTTTCACCAGAATGTTTTAGTAAACAAACTCTCACAGATCTATTTATGCTAACTGTTTTGAAAGGTCATTCGTGTAAGCACTACCGGTACCGGTATTATTAGAAGCACATGCTATCAACACAATAGATGACTATGCTATATTAGACTACTGTGGAATACTTTATTTTCGCTGGAATTAATTTTCGCTGAAAAGGTATTTTGGGCGTTTTGCTTGGAATTTATTTTCACTGATTTTTGTTGAGATTAAAAAATATAAGAAAAAAATGTATATTCACTGGATTTTATTTTCACGGAATCATCCCTTCAGCGAAAATAGCGAAAATAAAGTATTCTACAGTATACTACCAAAACATTGTTTATAATAAAAACAAATATAGTACTGATAATCGGTACTACTTAAATCAAGTATTAAATATTATTTCACATAGAGCACTTATAATGTTGTGCTTCTTCACTAAACCCACACTTCTATTACTGTGAAATACTTTATTTTAGCTGTAATTTTTCTGAAAAGACAGTTTGGCTGTTATATATATATGTATTTAAAGTTTATTTTTACTGATTTTTTATGAGTTGAATGTAAAATATAAGAAAAACGGTATTTTCTTCAGTGAAAATAAAATCCAAGTGAAAATACCCAGTAAAGTACCTTGTCCTCTCTCTTATTTTTTACATCAAGCTGATTGGAGGAGAGCAGGTCACATAGAATGGAATAAATCACAATATATCCCCAAGTTTGCGCAAATCACAATGACATTCCACTCTAATGGCGTCTGAATGTCAAACCAAGCAAACATGCTGGCTGCCGAATTTGGAGTGCATTTGGGCATAAAAATGCAAAATTCTGAAAGTCCTAATACGGACAGGTTTATCAAACTAGATTACTACAACAATCAGAATAAATATTATTGTCAATACAGACGTTGAAACCACAACATATTCACCAGTGTTGACAAGATCGCATCCACTCTCATTACTGGTAGCAACACAAATGAAGAACACAATTTCAAAACGTAAATAAATGTAGCCAAATTAGCTAAATAGCATGCTAGTTATAAAAAGACAAAGGACTCTTTTCCCATTTATTTTCACGTTAAAAATTATTTTAAAATGTTTTTAATCACCTTCAATGTTCAATTTGTTACCTTTATTCTATAGTCGCCTTTATTACATTCGAGGCACATACACAAACATGTAAACACTGGAAAGTTAGTTTGAGGAGATCAAATTTACATGAAACCCTGGGCATTCCAAATCTGCTATTATAAGACAATTTCCACGTACATTGTCGCTTTAAATGTTACATAGTATCTACATCGCTTCTAATTATTGTGGATACATTTTGATCAATAATGTATCAATTCATAGCCACCAAAAATGGCGTAGACTTTTACTACGACATAACATGGACGTGGTCATAACATCTAGAAGATAAGGTTCCAAATAAACTTATACAATAGATTCTACAATATTTGTAAGGTGTACCGGTACACATTATACGTTATATCGACAACTAAGCTGCAGTGTATTTACATTATTTCATGGGACCATATCCCTGTGTATATGATTCACGGGGTGCTGAAAAGGCATGTAATTCTAATTATTGTCGAAAACAAACAAAAATCGACACCCCGCCCGAATCAAAGACAGTGAGAATCCGTTTACGGTGAACAACAGGCAAAGTGATACACACAATGAAGACGGCACATGTACTGCATAGTAACAAACGGTGGGCCAGATTGTTATGTGGAAATCGAGTACCAGCATGCCTATATCGATCGGAACGGGATCATTTCCCTAAGGCCCGATCGTTCTACGAGAAAACAAAACCTACTGTTGCAATTGTTTTCTTGTCCTCTTCAGTAATGTTTTGCCGCGCCGGAAGTTGGTACCCTCCGAATTTGAAAAGCGTGGTAGTCATTCTTATATAGATAATAAAAACAAAGAAATTAATTGGTGACTTCGACGGTGATTCGAACAGGAAGTGCAGTAAACATTTCCGCCATATTTTAAGTTAGGTGTTAATTTATGTACCGTGCACTGATTGGTTTATGCAAATGTTTTGAGTTCACGTGCCTAGAACACGCGTCATGATTGGTAAACGGTCCGAGAACCCTGATCACATTTCATCTTCGTTGGGTTACTGTATGGTTTCACGGTCTTCTACAAGGTGATTATGTCGTTGCTGCTTTCTGGACATATATATACTGTCTTGTCCTGTTGATTCATCTTACCAACATGTCAGCCTCAAGTACAGCATCATCTAGTAACGGTTTGAGAAGGTCGGGTCGCAAAAACAGAGGAAAATACAGCGTCTCTTTGTCCGGTGAGTACACGTTCTTTGTTCGTCGTCGTTGAAAAAGACATAATCTAAACATAGAAGCCATTTCCCGCTAGTGTAGATTATTTAGAATAGTTTATACCTCCCAGAAAATCTGGCACTCGTTTCATGTTATATACACATTTTTTCTTATTCCATATATTGTATTGGTTTACACCTTTGTATTAAATGATACTTGTTCTATGCATTATTTTAAAAAGTATTTACTACTTCCGCTGCTGAGCGCTCGTCCACACGTATTCGAATGGCCTGATCGGTGATTACCCGTGCCCTTCGTAGCAAAGGCGTTGCTTGCGTGTTGTTAGTCGCGTCTACGTAGTTTGCCCCAAAATAGTTGGGCACACAGACTGTTAATTATTGTGGTTTCGATGTGTTACATATCGGCCTGTATTAATTTCTCTTTTGCTTAGAATGTCAATTAGTTTTCTCCTCTCCGTTGTATACTTGTGTTTTAATGGAATTATCTCACGTACCTTCGAGTCAATTTCGTGCTATTGTTGTCTTTGTCCTTTATGTTCCAGCATGCCCTCTGTGACCATAACAGACCTTCGATCGACGTTTCGTCTGTACCCCTGTAGAGCTTTTTTTCTCGATCTTGTTTAGAATTTAAATACCCGACAAAATAAATAAAAACACGAAGATATTATTTTTTTCATTGAAATAAATGTCCTTGAATGATTCATTTTGTGGGGAATGCATTATGTCCACCCAAGGGTCATGTTCATTGTATGTGTATTCCATGAACGTGTTAGTAAATCGTTGTGAAAAAATATAGCGTTTTTACTGAATTTGTGTGATATCATGCTCGTTTTTTTCTGCCTTTTCAAAGATATCTAGCTTTAATTTAAAATTGTTCAGAAACAAGCGTGACCTTTTTTTGGGAGGTTACATTGTTAGAGAAAACAAATGGACCATATTCTCTTCTTTGTTGCATCTTCCTGTTGATTGACAAAGAACAAGTTGTTCCAAATTTAAATGCTGTTACTATATATACAACAAAAATATGATGAATGGCCTTCAGCATATTCATTAAATTTTCAATTCATTTTTTTCTCATCCAACAGAAGCGCCTTCAACTCCATCTCTGCCATCAGCTTCTGCATCCAGAAACCGGTCCAATATTAAACCACAGAAAATATATTGTTTGAGGAGAAAAGCTAGTACTAGTATTCCAGAAGTAGAAACAGTAGGTGCTTTTACAGTTCAATCTGGGTATTAATGTTATTTTTAATGTCACATGACTTGTGTCATAACACTGGGATTTTCAATCAAAATGAAGTGCTGTCTGGGGAGGGTTTAAATGTGTTGCTTTTTTTTTCATCTTCTGAAATTCATTCATGCATGGTATTAATTTTTACAACTTTGTTGAATCCTGATAATTATTCAAAACTTAATTACTGCCACAGGTCATATGTGACAGGGTGTATTATCTGTAAATTTATGACAGTTATTACAATCGAGGTCAAAACTTAAATTGGTGAAAAAACAAATGTATGTTGTAATATCAGAGAGTAATCTCCCTCACCCCCATCCAGTCAGAACTTTTTGGATGAGACATGAAAAAATTATATCAGTTTTGGGGTTTTTGCAATAAAATATCCACATCACTGTTGCCATGTAAAACTAATAACTTATTCATACATGTATATTATATAAAGATATACTGCCTTCTAGAATGTTTGTGCATTTCATATTGAGTTGAATGCTTTAGGATAGAAATTATTTATTAAAATTTGACGTGTAATTGCTCTTGACTTCCTTAGCATGTGTGTGAGGGGACAGTCTCTTGATAATTCAAAACAATAATCTACATGCATAATGTAGTCAATTTTTATTCCTTTCATAATTATTTGTCCAGTCCTAAATTATAGTTAAGCATTTATTTTTAGTTTGCATGTTATGTTCGCCTTTATGTACTGTGATGCCTAATAAATCCAATCCACTATAATTCCAGGACGTTGTAGCTAATTTAACTAAAATGTACATTGGTTCCAGCTGATCAGCCAGATTAGGCTGCAGTTAAATTAAGATTGAAGTTTTATATTCCCTTAAGTGAAAATGCTTCTATTTCTATTGCTGCGCAATTAATTTCAAAACTGCGCTCTGAAAATTGCATTCAAGTTTCTTTACATCTTGGCTCGAGTGTACATTTTTATTATTGTCGTGCAAAACCACTCATTAAACAGGTTTTTTTGGGTATGGAAGATTGAACAATTGAATGAAAGGACCTTGTGCAATGTGTTTGATGTATTTGTTTGCATTTCATTTCTAGTTTCCATCCAAAAATATTTCCACGACGCGGACGAATAAACGAAGTAAATTATCTGTTGGAGGAGGGGGAGAAGAGGTTGCAGTGCGAGAAAAACAACCAGGTAAAATTGCATCATGAATATTTATGAGTTAAATATTAAAGTAATCTTTAGTGACATGTTTTGACTAATCACATGGTATACGTTATTGATGTCCAATAAAAAAAAATACATGTTTATTTAATTATATTTTTTAGCTGCAAGTCCAGAAGAAAATTTTCTACAATATCATGTTCCAGATGAAATCTTATTAAATATATTTTCATACTTAAAAGAGAAAGATCTATGTGCAGCGGCATGTGTCTGCAAAAGGTGGCACACACTCGGCAACGACCTCACCTTGTGGTAAGCGGTAATTTTTTTATACTCTTCTGACTGATGTAGTTTACCTTTTGTTAATTCAGTACAGTGGGTTAATTTAGAATCTATAAAGATTTGTGTCTAATTATTGTTCTATTTTAGATATCATTTCTTATTCATGTGTAATTGTAAATGCTGTTACTCCTTATTTATTGACCCATGTGCATTTCTTCCCATGCTATTGCTGTATTCCCACTGGCATTTAGAGATGCCTTGCACAGATAAATTTTAAATGTACCTCGTTTCAAATTTAATCATTGCATGTGATTTTTTTTTTTCAACTAGGAAAAACATGTACCAGACAGTGTACGAGATGTCCTTGCCCGTACTGACCTCTGAACCTGGCAAATTCATTTTTGTGCAACCAGAAAAATCTGAATTCCAGAATGTGTGGAAGGAGAGTTTTAAGCAGCTAGTGAGTTACAGTTGAATTTTATTTTTTAAATCATAAATTGCTGCATTTGTAAGGTTTCTGATATAAAAATTGACTGTTAATGAAAATGGAACAAAACAAATAAATATTATATTTAATACATTTGCAATACTATAAAATTTTAGTATTATGAAGCAATTATGTTGAGCATTTTTTCACTGTTGATTCTATTTAGAATAACTGTTAAAAGTCATTATAGAAAGTTATTGGTTTTTAGCAACCAATTTTTGTACATAATAACCCAGTTACTACATAGTAATTATTTTGCCCAGAAAGACCTATTTGATAATAAATTTTGTCAGCTTGTTGTCTCCCATTGATATGTAAACCTTTATTACCGGTTCCTAACGTGTTATTCAAGCATTTCCTGTACTTTCATGTCTCTTTCAAAACAAAAGCTGGCTGCATAAATGTCGTAGAATTAACTGTACACAATGTCTGAAATTAAAGATGGCAACCTTTTCCATTAACGACCCGATGACCTCAAATGCATCTAAATTGTCCAACTTATCGCTCTGATAAATTTAGGTGTGACATTAATAATTGTGAAATTTAAGACAGCTAACCTTCAAATGCCAACAAATGACTCGCGTTTATTCAGTTTCTGTTACAATTCTATTACGACTTTGTGCAAATACTTGCTTTACTACATTACTGGTTGATACAATTACAATATTAATACCAGTTAATATTAACTCTTTATTTGTATTAACTTAATTTACTGTCTTTTTTTTTTTATTGTAGTACCCCGGTGTTCACGTGAAGCCAGGTCATGCGCAACAAGTTTATGAGAACCCAGATAGTTACAATGGTCGAAGTATTCAATATTACGATAATATAGAAGAGGCATTATCGGCTGTTGAAGGCCAACTATGCCAATTGGTTTTGGTGCATGCTGGTATATATAGTTGTGAGTGGTTGTATATAGATTCACCAGTGTGTATCATCGGAGCAGGTATGTCCAATTAAATCATAATACAGTTGAATCTGCAGTCCTGTGTTTGTTGCTATTTTATTACTTACCAGTGTTTTCAGTTTTGTTTGTCTAAATTAATAAAAGCATCATAAATCACTATTGGCCATGTACATTTTTCTGTGAAAACAAAGTCTTTTTGGCCTCAAATTGGCATGTATATTTTAATGTGAGAATAGTGTATTTTCCATGTTATTTTTGGATGACACTAAGGCAATCCAATGTTTAGCTTTGATTGTGTTATGGTCTTTCATTTATCGGGGATAAATTGTTTATTTGTGCCACCCGCGGATTGAAGTTCGTATATTACATAATAAGTTGTAACCCAGTCCTTTCGGTTAAAATCAAATCACTGTGCCCGTCACTGTCTATCAGAGTCTGACGCTTAGTTTGAAAATGAGCCACGCTGTTCTTTCGTTTATTCTTTTATAATATCTACTGTGGCTTTTATTTCCAGCATTTGGTAATAATCCAGACAGTGTCATAATAGAAAACAACAAAGAATCCACATTTGTGTTTATGGAAGGCAGTGAAGATGCTTACTTAGGATTCCTTAGTATTAGGGTAAGTTGGCTGCTCCCACTTGAATTTTGATGTACATGTATACCCCTCCCCCATCTTTACTGACTTTGTACTACCTAGTTGTTCTGTTTGGCGATCCAGTTTTTCAGCCTGTTTCATTATAATTTAATATAAAGGTGACAATCCTATTTGATGGAAAACATGCTCAAAAGTTGTTTGTTTTCTTTCAGTTCACTCCCGATCCGAATACACAACAACCGCATCATAAACATTCATGCGTTGAGGTCACTGCAAACTGCTGGCCGACCATTGATAGCTGTGTAATCCGAAGCAAGTCGCAAGGTAAGCTTTTTTTTTTGTATATTTACCAAAAATGCCATTTCATGCCTTATTTGTGCATTCAGAGCTCTGTTATTTGTGGTCTGCATTTTTTAACAATTTTCTTCTCTCTTCTACTTTAGTCGGTTCTGCTATTTGTGTGAGTGGGAAAGGTGCAGCACCACATATTAAAAATTGTATTATAAACGACTGTGAGAATGTTGGTCTCTTTGTCAATGATCATGCGCAGGTAAGTTCAACATACGATTCTCCATAATATGTTTGAGAATTTCAAGATCAAAAATACTGCTAGAGTATCTCTCAACATTTTTTTCCTAGAATATTCTGTTTTCACTCAATTTTATATATAGTCTTTCACTCAAGTTTACCCAATTCTTGATTCAATAATTATTGATTTTGATAATTTTGCAGGGTACTTACGAAGACTGTGAAATTAGTGGCAATGCTTTGGCTGGCATCTGGGTGAAAAATTTTGCAAATCCCGTAATTCGACGATGTCATATTCACCATGGTCGAGACGTGGGAGTATTTACATTTGACAACGGAATGGGATATTTTGATTCCTGCGACATTCATCATAACCGGATTGCCGGATTTGAAGTGAAAGCTGGTGCTAACCCGACTGTTGTTCGCTGCGAAATTCATCATGGACAAACTGGTGGAATCTACGTGCACGAAAATGGACGAGGGGAGTTTCTGGAGAACAAAATTCACTCAAATACCTTTGCTGGAGTTTGGGTGACTTATAATAGCGACCCGACAATTAGGTAAGTTGACTTTTTGCGCAAATCTATTTATCATTTTGCATTAGAAGCGCATCATTATTAATAATGATTTCGCATGATTTGTCCTAACAGTTTATCTTACCATCTTATTTACAGGGGAAATGAAATATTCAATGGTCATCAAGGTGGAGTGTACATCTTTGGTGAAGGCCGTGGACTTATCGAAAATAACGACATTCATAGTAATGCGCTAGCTGGAATACAAATTAGAACCAACAGCAACCCAATAATTCGGGGTAATAGGATACACGATGGTCAACATGGCGGTATTTATGTGGTAAGCAGTTAATTTTTAATCTTCAATAACAAATATTTGTCAAAATGTATTTTACTAGAGTGGACCTATATCAGATTTACCAGTCATAAGCGAGACATCTGATGGCTTAAATCCCATGGCAGAATTTGCTGCATTTTCAGGGAATAAAACCTGATTTGTAGTAGAATAACAATTCTAACTTTACTTTAAATGTCAAACCTATATATTACACAAACTGGTAGTAACTGATATAACTTTTGTTTGATTAAAATGATTGTCAATTTCCTTTTGTTTCCAATATCAGCATGAAAAGGGCAGGGGTTTAATTATAGAGAATGAAGTCTATAGTAATACATTAGCTGGTGTCTGGGTCACCACCGGAAGCTGTCCGGAACTTAGGAAAAATAGAATACACAGTGGGAAACAGGTATTGTCTGCAATTTTTATTTTCGGTTGCCTTCGTCATGGTTGCTAAGTAACTTTGAATGGGATATGAACTGGAATTAGTGTGAAGTGTGTATTGTAAAATAAAATGATATTTTATGTGAGATAACATATGTTGGATTAATGAAAATGTAATCTTTGGTTTGAACTCCACCCGCTTGTCATTTGTCACCAGAAGAAAAGTTCAAAAGGTCATTATGATTAAATATCCGCATCTAATCACCAACAGGTTGGGGTTTATTTTTACGATAATGGGCATGGTATTTTAGAAGATAACGATATCTTCAATCATATGTATTCTGGAGTTCAAATCCGAACTGGTAGTAATCCTGTGATCAAGAAGAATAAAATATGGGGTGGACAAAATGGCGGAATTCTTGTTTATAATGGAGGTAAGTCTGTAACTAAGAAACTCTAATGGATATTTATGTAATATTTGACATTTCCTTTTGACATGAGATGTTGATATCTAACTTTGTTGTAATTGTGTCACTTAGGCCTGGGTATTATTGAGTGCAATGAAATCTTTGACAATGCAATGGCTGGCGTGTGGATCAAGACAGACAGCAACCCACAGCTGCGATATAATAAAATACACGATGGAAGAGATGGGGGTATTTGTATTTTCAATGGAGGTCGAGGTAAGCATCACTGAATTGAGAATTCAGTTCAACCTTGTTTTGCATGTTTTCTTGACGTTGGTATATTCCTAGTTCCGAGAAAACAAGTCCTCTCTGTTCTTCCAGATATAGTAATCGGTGTTAACTTTTCTATTTTTGCAGGTTTATTAGAATTCAATGAAATCTTTCGCAATACTCAGGCAGGTGTGCTTATCAGCTCGCAGAGTCACCCTACCTTAAAGAAAAACCGAATTTACGACGGTTTAGCAGCAGGGATAGAAATCACTAACAATGCATCGGCCAGCTTAGAAGGCAACTTAGTATTCAACAATAAATTTGCTGGTATATGTCTAGCGACCGGAGTGGAGCCCGAGATGAAAGGTAAGCAAGGTCAATCAATATCAAATGCACTGGAGTACTGGTTGCTTTTCTGCGATACTTGCAAGAACTTGACACTGTTACTAACACGGCATAACGTTAGCGAGACTTCATTTTTGAGGATTCAGTAACTCCAATACTTATCTCTTGGTTCAAGGGTTTCGATGATGACGAATATGGTATAAAGTTGGTCCGCAAAAATGCAGTCTCGCTTACAAGTTTACTAAATTTTGCTTTTTGCCTCGCTTGCTAACTCTCGCACATTGAGCTTAAAAAAGTGTTTCTCTGTTATCTTAACAGATAATCGAGTGTACGATAATCAAAATGCCATCGAGAAAGCAGTTCGGTCAGGCCGATGTTTGTACAAGATTTCAAGTTACACCAGTTACCCCATGCATGATTTTTACAGGTTAGTTACTTGCCTGTTTGCCAGAGATTCATTGTATTTCCAGTCAGCATGTGATGCTTGCTTTGCTATGATGTACTGCCAAGTTTGAGATGGTCTTTGGCACTTTGTTCTTTTCGTACAGGGGTGTGAATTGTTTCCATGGTTTCCAGAATAATTGGTTTGATATTTCTATAGAATTCGACATTGTAACTTTAAATTTACTTGTACTCTGTTCAATTGAAAGGGGGAAAAAAGCATGGAAAATAAAATGTTGTAAAAGCACACTTCTTTCCCATGGTTTGCACTTTAGTGGTCTTTTGTGGCTCAGCAAAGTATAGTGTTTTGAGATGTGGGGTGTGGGTTGTTGGCTTTGACCATGTTGGGCTAGTAACAATATTTTCTTGTATTGGTGTGTGCTAATACAGAGAGTGTGTATGTGTGTGAAACCACTTTAACATACATTCAAAAAATTCATTACTTTTTTTTTGTTTTTGATTACTAGGTGCCGGACATGTAATACGACAGACAGGAATGCAATCTGCGTGAATTGCATCAAGAAATGTCATGCTGGACATGACGTAGAATTTATTACTCACGATAGGTTAGTATGGGCATTTCATGTGGTGCAGACTGGTTTTGTCATTTTTCTCAATAAAGATTACCAAATAGTCGTGGGAATCGACTTAGCAACGTTAAATCTAAGATGCTGCAGTAAACAGTTGTTCCAACTAGTCTTGGAAGGACAATCCATCAAACATGAATTGTGATGTCATTTTATCATAAATCTTTGTTTGTCTTACAGATTTTTCTGTGACTGTGGTGCTGGTACTTTATCTCATCAGTGTCAATTGGCGGGGGAACCGACAAAGGACACAGACACTATTTATGATTCGGCAGCTCCGACCGAATCGCATACACTCATGGTTAATTGAACACCTCCATAATCTTAACTTTTTAGTCTCACAATCATGGAACCATGGAAATCTTAACTCAACAGGACTCATTGGTCTACCTGAATCAGATGAGAACGATTTCAAGTTGTTCACTGCCACAATGAATCAATGACAGGGTTTCTAACTTTTGCACCAATCAAACAATATTTGCTCATTAAGAGAATTGCATTTGAATGAAATGTTTACCTAACATCCATTGCTATGGAAACCTGATAGTACCAGGAAAGAAAACCTAAATAGACTGTAAATATGTTTGTTTTTTTTGTGTACACATTTGGTTTTCTTTCTGAGTCTGCTATAATTCCTACTATTCATTCATTGCACATTGTTTGGCAATTCATAAAACGAAAACTCTCTCCCGTGTATCTCTGGGCATTATGTTCAAAGCAACACTTGGGCCGAGCTACATAAAATTTCGTATCAGCATTGATGATAGATGGGTCACAAACCTCAAACTATATTAAATAAAATAATATTGTAAATCAATTTAATTTTCTTGACAGTTTTTATAGAATGCAAAATATTCTTTCATTTTTTTTCTTCAATCATAGAATAGCCCTTGGGCACAGATGGCCACCAACAATTTGTTTTTGCTTCATGCATAGTGTTGATTCTCAGTGAACAGCAGTAAATCGGGAGAAAAGCAAATCACTTGTGATCATTTATGTCCAAAGTCTATTGAGTCTAATATCACACTGCCAGTGTGACTTGCAACTAATTTATGCTTAATTTTTCATAAAAAAATGCAGAAGTGACAAAAAAAAGTGGGTAGGGGGGGGGGTTAAGTTATACATTGGTAAATACCAGTTCTTCCATTTTCTTATTGGGTCTGTGTATTGTTCATACTGCTGTGAATATTCTGTGCTGTGCTGTTACTATTTTTGTAGCAACCTTGGAAAATATTGTATAGTAAATATTTAACAAATTTTCTGTGTAGAAATAATATGCAATCCACCAATTTTTTGGTGCCCACCCCTTCCCACATTTATTGAAGCTACGTGCAGTTTGGCTGAATTAACTAAGTCATTAAAATAACTCACTAGCTGAAAAATGTTACAGTATTCCTGGCTGTTTTAGACTTTTCATTTCAGTTATGTCTTTTAATAATCTTCAAAAGATTTTTTTTAAAGTTATTCCTCTTTTCCTTTTTTTAGAGGATAAACTAGCAAGAGTAAAAAATGCAATATTCTGCGCTGCATATCCTTAAAACAATGTACAATTTTCACTCCCACTTTGAATGGATCAGTCTTGTGTTCAAATAGTTGTCAACTTCAGTTTGATATTTTCTTTTTTCAACAAAAAAATTTCAATTGATATTGTCTGTGCCAAGTTCCATTATGTAAACAGCATGCTCGTTTTGTTTTTTTAATTTAAAAAGTCAATCTTTTTGCACTATTTATTAGAATGTATCAAATAGAGAAAAACAATATTTAATTAATATATATATCACAAAGAAAAAAAAAAGTCTAACTTGTCCAACAATGTGCATAATTGGTGTATATGTGGTAGAAAAATAATAAAACAAGTTTTCTACACTCGTACTTGCTTTGCGTGATTTACCTTAACAATGGGGAGGGGGGCTTGAAATGTATATTTTTGGACAACTCTGGAAGTTTGCCAGGCAGGAATTTGCTAAGTGACTTTGCTATTGCATTTTGCACAAGATTGATCAAACTCTGGACATAATGGTGAACAAAACTGTCGTGACACAAGAGGTCTTGCTAGTTTAGTCCAGGTTTTATCCGTACACTGGACGTGAGCAGTCTGTTCCCAAATCTTGAACTTTATTACCGTGGTTAGTTTCATCATGCTACTCATTTTAGTTTTGTGGTGAAAGCATGTCATTAATTTATCAAGTCGGTGTGATTCTGTGCAATTTTATAGTATATACTTTACTGTTGATGTGATCAAACACCCTATGCCTAAAATTGGATTTGCAACTGATAAAAATATATACAGTTACTCGTTGTATATGAACAATGGGCCAATCAGTTCTGAAAAAACTATCGGCACATTAACTCTGTTGGTGTGGTGGCCATTTCAGACTCCCATGGAGATAAACATTTTTTCTGTCGAGTAAGTTGCAGTCTCGTGCACGTTTATCATACAAAAACTTCGCTCTGAAATTGCCAGGACAGTTTCAAATAGAGAAAAGTGTCAGTTACCAGCGAAAGGCGACATGGTTAGAACAATAGCAACGAGTCAAAGAATGGTACAACTATTGTTAGCTTAATTTATTTTCAGATTTTGCATAAAAAAGCAGTGGGAAGAGATTTTTTAAGAATTGATCCCTTCGGCGACAAATCGTTTACAACTCCAAATGTATAAGCTATGTATAATATGTACATATTATATTCGACAAATTATCTCTTTATACAGTGGCAGACTAATAACACAGAATATCTTGGTTCACGTTTGATAAGAAATTATAAAATAGTAGTTGATATTTATTGTTCATATTATCCTGTCGCTTAAGTCATCAAAGTCCGGGGAGAAATAATAGTTTATTTGACGTATGACACTGACAACAGGAAGGAAAAGGGGAGCATCCCGGAGCACAACAAGGCTCCAATGCTGTGTCTGTTGGTTTTCCTATTTCACTCTCTGCCCATACAAGACTTGCTTCAAATTCACGCTTTATGTCATCTATTCGCATCAAGACATCAGTATAGGCTGGATCTAAATTTAAATTGTATATCTCCGACGGATCCTGGTTTAAATCGTACAGCAGTGGTGGGACCTGCTTTGTGCGGTTATGGGTTTCTGGACAGTCAGGATCGTGCGTAAAGTCTGTGTTGCTGCTCCCCTGTGTGTAGTAGTGTGCTTTATACTGCTTGTACCGGACTGCATATATTGGGTAATCGGGTGTTGAATATGGCGAGATATAGAAGAATGACTCTCGTGTACTCTGGTGGGGAGAAAAAAAACGAAACTAAAATATGATGACATTTATAGTAGTAAATACAATATAAGCTTTGAGTAAATATGCCTACTGAATTTGAATTGAACTGAAAAACAATGACAGTTGTATGCGACTGCTTCTTTAACTATGCGAACTACTAATGTATTGTGTACATCGTATTCAGGAAACAAACGAAAAATCTTGTTTTTCACGGGCACATGCGCCTTTGATACAGTAAATAAATTTCAATAAATCTAATTTTATACTTAATTAAAATAAACGTTGACAAAAAAAAACAAACACCAGCCATGGTCAGTTTATTTGGCCATAACCTCAACACTACACTTTGGTAGATTCTCTTCAGAAAGTGCGTTTTAAAATGCACCCTCATGCACCAAGTTTGATACATTAGAGGTGTGCTTACTCAGAGCGATGTATTTTTCCAAAATCACGACTTCTCGGTAGAATCACACACAGGTTTATGTTTGTTTACGTTGATATCGCCGTCTTGTGGTCACGCTCACTCTGAGCGAATCTATATAACAGTAGGGGACGGTTGTCATACTTGTGATGGTCTTACAATTGGATGGTGATTTCTCTTTCAAATATACCGTACCAGGGAAAGTGTTCTATGTTCTTCATGTAATGAAGTGTTTGTATACAAGGGATTGTCCATGCAAAAATGACGAATGAGGCCGAATTTTATTAGCAGTTGGCTTAATGTTACCACAGCGTTTCTATTGGATGTGAAAGTTTATTTTCTCCCTGATTTGCAGGAGCTGTGTTCAAGATGGTTACCCCCCTATCAATATTAAATTACTTGTACTTGGTAACTGTAAACTACTTTTACATTATCACGCCTTGCATAACAAAGCAAATTGTCCAGGGAAATCCAGAAAAGTACCAGGCCACGTAAAATCATTCTATGTCACTTAAAGCAATATAGACTTCCCTGAAGTGGACGCGACCACAAATCAGGGCCAGCAGGATTTGAAAGCCAACTGCCAACTGCAAATTGGATTCCCCAATACTTATAAGACTCGCTGTAAATTTGCACAAACAACTTACTATGTATGTATAAAGGAAGGAAGGAAGAATTTGATTCGACATGAAATTTGTTTACCAAAAATAAAAACAAAACTAGAAATTTACAGGAATTGTTACATTCTAAAAATCGAAGAAAGCTTAGAAAGAACTCCTGTGTGCTGAGAGTATTGAAGACACATTAAAAATTAATTCAAAATTACTTGTACATGAGATATTGATGGAAAAGCTGAAAACTAATTATTTAAATCAGGTAACTAATATGAACAGAACAGAACAAAAAAATTATGAATTATTATACTAACTAGAGAAATTTTAACCCAAAATTAATCAGGCCTGTCTATTGTCCTAGAGCATTTATGTACCAAATTTTATTCAAATGTGATGATCAGTAATTGAGATATCAGTGTTAATTAATTATGTAAATTACCGGTACCGGTAGGTGATTAACAAGCATAAATAAATATTTACCAAAAACTAATTGGGTCTCTGCATACATGTAGTTCTCTATAAAAGTTTCATTAAAATCCAATTTGTGGTTCCTTATATATCAGTAGAACATTATGCAAATTAGGTAATTAATATCCAATCAAAACTAATCAGGTCTCTGCATAGTCCTAGAAGATCTATGTATCAAGTGTCATTGAAATGTGATGATTACTACTTGAAGTATCAAAAGCTGAAAATTAATTAATTATGCAAATTAGGTAAATAATATGTACTGATATTACCCTATAAACTATCAGGTCTGTGCAGTGTCCTATAACATCTATGTACCAAGTTTTATTGAAATGTGATGATTAGTATTTGAGATATCAGTGGAAAAGCCGAAAATTGATTAATCATTATGCAAATTAGGTAATTAATATTGCACAGATTTTTACCCAAAACTAATAAAATCTGCGCATTAGTTTGGAGCATCTATGTGCCAAGTTTCATCAAAATCCAATGAGTGGTTCTTTAGATATCAGTGGAACAGCTAAAAAATGATAATTAGCTGAATTATCATGCAAGTTAGGTAAATAATATGCATGGATTTTTACCAAAACCTAATCGAATCTGCGCCTTGGCCCAGAGTATCTATGCACCAAGTTTCATCAAAAATCAATGTATGGTTCATGAGATATCAGTGGAACAGACGGACACACATACACATACATACACACATACATACACACACAGACACATTAACTGCAAAGACTCCCATTGTGTGCTTCGCACACAGGAGTAAAAAATAAATGTTCTTGACATTAGAGGATTTTGAACAATCACTTCAGCAAAACTCTGAAATGTGCACATAAATAATTGTGAACGAGTATGAAAACATATTTAAAAGTGGTGGTCATCACACCACGTCCTGTTCGATATAGGACTCATATTGATGTGTACAACACAAGTTTGTTAACATGAAATTCAAAGACGTAGTACACAATGATCATCACCCTTTAAGAAGTTGTTATAGCTAAATATTTACCTTTCCACTGTTAAACAGAACATCTCTGATGTCAACCCCATCTAAGGCGACTCTAGGTAGTGTACCATTAACAAGTTTAACTATGGTTGGTAGTAAGTCTAATGTACTTGCTAGTTCCATAGATCTCCCAGGTTTAATCATACCTGGCCAGTATGCTATGCCCGGTACTCGCTGTCCACCTTCATATGTGGTACCTTTACCACATTTTAACGGCCCAGCGTTGCCACCGCGGTGTTTGTTGCGTAGACTTGGCCTAAATAAATCAAAAGAGCGAGTACGGCTGTAAAAAGTAAGCATGTCATATGATGCAATCAAGACCACATCCATTTTCTTAAGAAATGATTGGGTAATGAACAAATGTGATAGAGCTGAATAGACAAAAATAAACCTGAAGCACTTTATGAATTTGAAGAAAACAATCAGTTTTGTAGTCAATATGCAAAAATAGATAGATAGATAGATTTTTTTTGACACAAAATTTAGTATGAATGAAAAAAAACATAAAATAAATCAATGGTCAAAAAAAAAAAAACTAAAAAAAAAAAAAAACTAAAATAAAGCTTAGAAATAAAATCAATAAATATGATAAACTAGTGATTATGTGTTTCATTTATGCATGATATCAGATAACCTATTGGTGTTTTTTAAAATTATGAATTTAGATATGAAATACTTTTTTTCTCAGTTGGAACATTTCCTCCCATAAAATTAGAGTGTATTCACTTTCAAGGACTTTGCAAATTTACATCAACTTACCCATTGTCTGATGTGAAAAAGACAAACGTATTGTCTTCAACTCCAACGTCTTTCAAGAGTTGCACTACTTTACCGACACTATCATCCACTTCGGCAAGTGAATCACCAAAGCTTCCCCGCAGGGTACTGTTTCTATACCGATGACCTGCAAACTGCGGATGATGTGTGTGTTGAAAGGAATAATACAAGAAGAATGGAGTCTTGCTCACTGCATTAGTAGTGATGAAATCTGTGGCCTTCTGGATGAACTTGTCTTCAAGTTTCGTCAAGTCTACTGGCTGCTCAATGATTCTATCATTGTGGAATAATGCACAGCCAGTGTAATACAGGTCACATTGGTTAAAACAAGGATCAGATGGGTAGAAACACTTCAGACATGGGCACATATCGTGCGAGAAGGGAGTTCCAAAGAAACTATTAAATCCATAATTCATTGGCAAATATTGTTGATTTTTGCCAAATCCTAGATGCCATTTTCCAACAATAGATGTATTGTATCCTTTCACTCGCAGGATCTCTGCCAGCGTGGTCTCGTTATGCTGCAACCCTCCAGAAGACTCAGGGAGAAACACATTGGGCCAAATACCAGTCCTTGGGGACAGCCTTCCAGTTAATAGAGCTGCTCTGTTTAGCATAAACAAAAGTATAATGTGATTAAATTATATGTGAATAAAGTGCGAGGCATTAAAACAGGAAATACGAAAATAAACTGACCCGGAAAACGACTATCTCCATATCAGTCTCCCTTGCACTATTGCAATATTTCTAGAAACTTTGCATATTACTTGTATTTATTGTCACATCAGCATGGAAATTGGAATAGCAGGTACTTGAGGGAATTGGAAAAAATACAATCACTATGGTAATAATTAGTACTGGTAGTATTATTTGGATTTTCAGTCCTCAAGTGTCATAGCTTCCAATAATACTCAAAAAACGGAATTATTATAAGACCCCTCAGTCACCAAACATGTAGAATGCAGGTGTGCCTATTTTGGATATTGAATGTATGTGCAATTTGTCTGCATAAATGGATTATTGAACATTGGGTCACTACATCTAGTGACTGTTCTGTACCACAGAAGGGAACTCACTTTGATTTTGGGTGGGACTGGGAGAGCTCCACAGCCCGTTGATAACTGGACCAGTGAAGACCGACGCCGATGGCGCTTTTGCCCCAAAATTGGCGTTTTTCGCCAAAAATGGCCTATATTTATCTAAAAATGGGGGTTCAAACATCGGCGCATACCCCTATAGTTTAACTATGAAAGTCTCACCCACAGGTCTCACCCGGTCCTGTACCAATTAAACAAGATCTAGTAGTATTGTATGACCAATGTGTAGCAAAACGTACCTGGATGGGGAACATAATGGACTAGCAGCATAAAACTGAGTGAACTGCAGACCGTTTCTAGACAATTGGTCAATATGTGGGGTACTGGAAGTTGGGTGTCCGTAACAACCCAGATCTCCGTATCCCAGATCGTCAACGAATAAAAATACTATGTTGGGAAGACCGTGACTGTGGGTGTTGCCCAGAACTGACCACACACACTGGATAATTACGACTATCTGTGTCGTTTTCAGTTCCATGATTTCAATTTCGTGACAATGATACACGATCTATTTTTAAGATCGCACCCCTCCCTCCGTCCATAAACATAACATGTTTCAGCAGCATAAAGTTGGCGTCGTATTGGCATAATAATATTAGCATCGGATTAGCATCAGATTTTCGTACATTCATAGGTAAAAATGAAATTGATCACATTCTTCATTATTGTCAATAAATAAAATATTGTCATAAATGTGGCATAATTCAAGAACTATAGCTATTAACTCTATTTTCAGCTACAGGCAGTGAAGCAAACCGATGCCGATCCGATTCCGATGCCAACTTAACGCTGCGGCTCATGAATAACATCAGGTGGTTTGAACCCCTTAACTAACTTAAAATAAAGTAACCACTATTATGGATGTTAGCTCCACAATACAACCAATTTACCATTAAAAACTATTACTGATAAAACATTTGAAGCTTGGTAGCAGACAAATCACTTACCGTTGTTTCAGCCACTTCAACTCTCATAACAGCTTACTTACACAATTTAATTTCCGAAATATAATGGAAAGGGTAAACAATTCGAACAATGAAAATGTTGACCATTTTACAATGTTACAATACAATACAATACAATACAATACAATACAATACAATACAATACAATACAATACAATACAATTTTATTCTAATCAACTATCTAATTAAAAGTAGGGAGAGAATATTAAAACATTTTAAAATAAATTTCGTCGGAATAACATCTCAAACATTATTTTTAATGAGAAGTACCACATAAACATTAATAAATATGGATTGAAAGATCAGCATCTACCGTGTGTACAGTTATGTCACTTATTAAATGGCATTATTGCAATATACAGCTTGGCCAACTTTTTTAATACTAGTAGTTGAGAAGGAACTCTCGTTCACCGTTCAAAATTCCGAACCGTGACATCTGTCCAAACTGTAAGTTAAGAAGTACCTGACATTAACAAGTGTGCGAATTAACAATCTGCATTGACGATTCTAAAAATGACAAATCATTAAGTAAGCACAGGCTGACAATTTGTTTTTAATCAATGATCATCAGTGAACAAATTATATATAATACCGTGTATGTGTTACAAAATTAACATTATTTTAAGAGATTTGTTGATGACGAAAACCAATGCTCAGTTGCCATTTTTTTCATATTGATTGATTTTTTTCTCGAACAGTGAATGTAAAAATCTTTGAGAATAAATTTTTGGTTAGAAAAATATCATTTAAATTAAAATGAATTAAAACAAGGAAAGGAATCTGCATATAAAATATAGTTGAAGCCTTAGATGCTTGAATTGCTGGTGCCTTTCAATTTTGTTTTTGTTTTAAATAAACATTATCTATGACAATTGTAAACTATATACTATCACACTGTTAATATTGATGTAATGTAGATTGAAAATTACTGAAGATCATAGCAAAAATATACAAGCCAGACTAGACACAAACTTTTTGTGAAAGTTACTAAATGTAATGCATGGTGTAAAGTTGCATTCATACTTCGTATTATATACAGATCACCTGACTGTGATCACCATGGAAAATAATAAAATCAGATGACAAGTAATGAAATGCCAACATAATTGTCGTTGTTGTATATAATCACTCAAGTCCATAAGATTCCCCATGAACTGTACAAAATCCAAATGATGCGTACAGTGGTTAGTGAGAAGTTTTAAGCGTGATCTTCGCCCAACTTAACTTATAATTTCACCTATAACTGACCGATCCCTTAGCGCATACAGCAGTGACAATATTTCGTATCGAAATACATCCACAATAAATCGCTTTTGTATTAGTCAACAGTATGTGTACTATTTTGGTTCACTGACAATTTGGTTTAAAAAAACGGTTAAATATTACCCATACAATGCCATTTTAGTCGCAATTTTCACAATAAAAACACACTTCCTCATTAAAAATAACACCAAAATATTGTCAATATTTTAATAATACCAGACATGAAAAATTACTTTGTAAGACACTATATTTTTTCACCATGTCTTCAAGCAAAATGTTGAGATATATTCTTGCCATAACAAACAAATGTTCGAGTACGTGTTTTCACACAAATCTGTCACAAGAATTTCTAATGAACAACCCACCCTCAAAAGTAACTTTCACTAACCCATTAACCAAGTACAGAAATGTGATTTTAATATTATGAAAGTTCGACCCATACTGTCATAGCTCACAATGAACACTATGTGACGTCAGCCGCGACTCTCGTGAGTGTGTTATTTTGGATACATATTTTATTGATAGACTGGGTTCACATATAATTCAAGTAGCTTTCCATTTATGGTAACTCTATTCCCAATTTCGATCTTGTTCAATCACGGACCTTGAGTATTGTGAATAAAGAATAATGCCGAACAGACAAGCGGCTCTTGTGCAATGAACGAGTGAAAATAATTAAATCTTTTCAAAAAGTTTCTCGTTTTTGGCTAGTGGCTCACAAACATATATTCATATGTCAAAATAGTTTCTGCTATTTTTGTATATTCATATACCGGTATCATTTATTCCAACTAGAAAAACAATATTAATTTACTGGTCCCTTATTCATAAACTTGCATGTAAAAAAGACTTTTAATAAACCATTTCCTAGGCCATTCTCCAAAGACCGGATTGTATGATAGATCTCCATAAACCAAACACTTCCGTAAACTGAACACTATTTTCCAGTCCATTTCCCATGGATTGTAAAAACAACCCCTATAAACCAAAACACAAATATAATAACATATAATACGTCCAAAAATCTAACAACCACAAACATAATACATTTTTCCCACCAAAAATGTAATACTCCCAACCACAAATATGTTAAACATCTAATTTTGTTTTGGCACCTTTTCTTCCCACTCGATGGCTCCACAGACAAGACGACAAGAACAGACTTCAAAAGTGTATAAATTGCTTTTTCTCAAGCTTTTACTGTAAATTTCTTTGCTATTTTATGAGCAGTTGTGTCCCCATTTTCATAATTTTGGATTTACACCAACCACTTAATTGGTTGAAAACCCCAGCAGATCATCTACAGAGTACCTCCTTGTTTACTTCGACTATTCAGTTACATCGAATGGTTGTAACACACAAGGTTTGTATGACTGAGCATAGTAAAATACACAAACTCTTGAGGATATTTTGAAATTATACAAAGAAAAACCTTACCCCTTTGGTAACCTGGGAATGCTAGAACTGCCATTCTGGCACATAGTGTTTATTTTTCAATGTAAGGGCTTCAGACGATAAAACCAGAGAAATATGGATGGACCAAAGTGAATAATTCACTTGTGTCGAAAGTTAAGACTTTAAGTAAAATGTTGGTGCATCAACTATCTGGGTCAATTGCTGGGCATGCATCTTATAGAATAAATGTTACTAATAAAAAGTAACAATAGATGACCTATAAATACAATGGAAAATTATAATTTTCTTAAAATTTTCTATATTTTGACAAATTTCATTGTTCTTATACCCAAAATCAAGGTTTAACATTTTCAAATTTTGTTTGCACCATTTGTGCCATATTTTGTGTCCAAAATTAGGTATATGCAAACAAATGGAAAACATTTATATAAACAATGAAATTCCGCCAGTCATTATGATTTGTATACAATCAAGTCATTGTGTCACAATTTATTTTATATACATGTACACTTTGATGTTCATGCATTGTTATTTACATCCAATGTGCTCATTAATTTTGTCAGAAATGAAATACACAAAACTGTTTTACAAATAACACAATGGAATTTATTTATAAACATTGCATTTTGCTACATGATATGTAAATATAACGCATCTTTCTGATTATATACAACATACATTAATTCTCATGAATATAAATGAAAAATATAATATATATATTTTGATCCTTGGTTTGTAAATGCATGCTGCAACACCAATTGATATCTTGAATCACAATTGAATAACTTTCAAGTAATAAAAGTAATAAAGTGTAATAGTACAAATATTTTTATAAACAAACCAATACGTTAACTAATGGTTTATATATAATTAATTACTGTAAAATACTTTATTTTAGCTGGAATTAATTTTCGCTGAAAAGACATAATGGGTGTTTTGCATGGAATTTATTTTCACTGATTTTTGACAAGTTGAATGTAAAATACAGGAAAAAGGTATATTCGCTGGATTTTATTTTCACTGATTCATTCCTTCAGCCAAAATAGCGAAAATCAATTCCAAGTGAAAATAAAATATTTTACAGTAATTAATTAATTAATTGAAATATCATCATTATTAATAATGAAAAAATATCAAATTTTTACATATAGGCTATATTAACATAAAAAACACAATATAAATAAATGCAAAAATGGCACCCCCATAATCTTCAGCCACAACTATTATATCAACCACAAATAACCATCAACAAAAAATGTAATAAAATGTAATATCAATCAAAAATGAAATATCCCTCAACCAGTGAACTTCAGCTAATAAAATAACATTCTGGAATATTCTAAAATAACATACCTCAATCTACTTATGGGTCCTACAAGCTTTCCCTTATTTTTGAAAGAGAAGATAGATTTTGGCTGTTGCTAAGAAACCAGTTATTGCTAAGCAGCCGGAGCATATTATTGAAGGAAATATTAAAAAATAGTTTATTTGAAAGTTAAGGATTGTGAGTGACCTAATTTATGACATTGACAACAAGATGGGAAGGGTTTACATCCTGGTTTGCAACAAGGCTCTAGTTTAGGGTCTTTGTATTTGTTTATTTCACTCTCTGCCCACTTCATACTGGTAACATGGCGCTCATAGATTTGGTGAATCTCATTCAGAAGAACATTGTACTCTGGAAGTGAATTCAGATTGTACAACTCAGAAGGATCCTGATTTAAATCAAATAGCAATGGTGGGTTGTGCCAGGTTAATTCTGCAGATGGACGACAGTCTTTATCTTTATTCTCAACACCACTTTCAGAAGCGCCCCGAGTATAGTAGTGTGCTTTATACTGATGATATCTGACCGCATAAACACCTTTGTCTTGCCTGGATTGTGGATAGTAGTAAAAGAATGTGTCCCTCAATCCCTGTAAAAAAATAGTCTTGTTATTAATTGATAACAAGCAGCCTGTCGGATAATATAGCTTTGCAGTCTTCAATGCATAATGAGACAAGCAGCCTGTAGGCTGAGACAGCTCCGCTGTTAGCAATGCACATTTCAATTAAAGAACAGAAGATATCATTAGAAAATGAACAATATGTATAGTATCAAAGCAATCAGACTTGCTGTTTTCAACAAGAATTTGGAAGTATTACTTTTTACCAAAAATGACAAAAATATTCATCAAAATTACATAATTGAAGATATCATCACGAAATGAAAAAATCTGACAGAGGTCAACCTGAGGTACTGGTACCAATAGATACTTAAGGTAGCAGGATAGTTTTTTTGCATGAAAAATGTAAACACCTATAATCGGAATATATTTTACAAGAAACCATACAATCTATATATGTTTGGAAAGCTCTTGACTTGTACTTTCCTATTATTAATATTTTGTGAACATTGTGTTTGTTTTAGCGTCACGTGATTCTGAAAATCAGCGGGGCTGATAATTTAACTAACGTGAATAAAATTTTAATTGTCATCTGATTTGCCGTTTTTAAAAGAAAATGTTATTTGTCAATGTTTGTGTATGTATGTTTAGTTGTCAAGAAATATGTAAATGACTGCTTGCATTTTGATAATTGCAATAGTTTGAAATAGCAATCAACCCAGTAAAAGTAGTAGGTGGTGGTTTGAAGTTATGTTGACATGCCATGCTGATCAGTGGTCCAAGATTTGTGACTAGTTCTTGTGTAGAGATTTTCAAATTGCATCAAATGTTGAATCATGATGAATATTATTTTAGTCTGTATTAATGTAACCATCAAGTTCTTTTCATCTTCATGATATAACCATGAATTAATTATTGAGGAAGTCATCATGTAATGTTTTTTTTTTGTAATCCACACACACAAATACCGTCAAAGTAGTTATGGTGCTGACCAGTGGCCATGACAGCCATCTAATCATAATTGGGAATTTACATAGTTGCCTTGACACTTTGTAGCAAATGAACTTGAAGTGAAAATTTTATAGTTTCCAGTAAACGTGAAATCGATTGAGGTAGACTTTCAAACACTCAAATTTTTTACATACACTAAAATTGTTAACACTTCACTTTCCTGTTCATTTGACAATTACAATGAGATCGTAATACGGAATTAATTTTAGTCTGTGTGTGACCAAAATTTATGATAAAGCAGTGATACATCTCAAATTCAACATTTTAAGTTTACAAGATGTTATGCAAAGTAAACACCGCCCATTATACGGTAGATTCCCTCTTGTTCAGGCTATGCAAGAAAATCTAATTCTAGCCATCGAACATTAGAGATTGGACAACAAATTTGTCATAATTATACAAGATTATATTAATATCTCACTCAACAATATGTGTACTATGCTATTATTTTTATTAATATTTTATAATAGTACTTACCTTGTCTTGCGTGAACAGAATGGGTCCCATATCAACACCATCCAGTGTAACATTTGGTAGTATACCATTCACCATTTTTGCTATCGTTGGTAGTAAGTCTAGTGTACTTGCTAATTCCATAGATCTACCAGGTTTAATCATACCTGGCCAGTATGCTATGCCCGGTACTCGCTGTCCACCTTCATACGTGGTACCTTTACCACATTTTAACAGACCAGCTACACCACCTCTCGTTTTCCATTGGATACTAGGCCTATATGAATCACAATATGGATATGTAAAATTTCAAAAATGAATACTGTAAAATCTGTTAGAAGCCGCACCCATTCTTTTAGAACAATTGAGACCCAACAATTCGTGTAGATGCTCTAATAGAAGCTGCACCCTCTGTTGCATTATACAATTTTAATAGAAGCCGCGGCTTTTAATACTGATTTTACAGTAGATTGTAATATATATGCCCATGTTTTACCAGACTTTCTGTCTTCAAATAATGAAAACAAGTGATTGTAAATGACATAGTCCCGTCATGTTTTTAGTGACTTTGTCAAACAATAAAAACAATTTAAATATTGGGATAGTATTAACTAAGAATGTGCATGAAACAGGTATAAAGACCAAGTTTGAATGAAATTGGTCAATGCATGCCCCAAAAACTGTTAATGAAATGTCCAAATGTTGATTTTTGGGACAAATAATGGCTGTCAGTTGAAGGTCAACAAAATAAAACAAAGCGATATTCACATGTATCACATGTATCACTTTGGATGTACCAACTGGAAAAAACAAAAACATTAACCCTTTGTATCTTGCCTTTGTACAAAATTTAACCCAAATCTGTACAATCATCTCTGTAAAATTAGCAGAACACTCAAAAAATCAAAATGGCAACCAGTACAACATTTTGAATCGAATCACGAGGCATGTCAAGGCATATCTGAGAAACGGTTGATGACATTTCCAAATGTTGATTTTTGGGACAAAAATAACTGCCAGTCGGTCAAAGGTCAACCAAATAAAAAATAAATCAATGTGCACATATCTCTCATTATGACTTGTCTTTGTACTAGCTTTGAAGAAAATCTGTCCAAGTGTCTCTGAGAGATGAGGACTGATGCACGAACAGATGGAACCCAAAACTCAAGTCTCCATTTCGGACTACATCCGACAGGGACTAAAAAAACTCCTTACCCATTATCCGATGAGAAAAAGACCAGTGTATTTTTGTCAATGTCCTGTTGTTTCAATTCTTTAATCACCTGACCAACACTCCAATCAATCTCGGCCAATGAATCACCGAAGACTCCCCGTGATGTAGAATTGCGGAACTTTTTTCCTGCAAACTGAGGATGGTGGCAATGCTGGAAAGCATAGTACAGAAAAAAAGGCTTTTTCTCTTGAGCATTTTTCGCTATGAAATCCCGAGCAGCATTAGCGTATTGTTCATTCAGTGTCAGTAAATCAACTGGCTGGTCCACGATCTCATCGTTGTAAAACAGAGGACATCCAGGAAAATATGGTTTGCAAGATCCATAACAAGAATCTCTGGGCCAGAAGCAAGTCACACAGGGGCACTGGGCGTGAGTGTATGGTATACCAAAATAATAGTCGAAACCAAAGTTTGTAGGTAAATACTTTTGATTTTCTCCCACACCAAGATGCCATTTTCCAATCATACCAGTTTGATAGTTCACAGTTTTCAACAATTCAGCAATTGTTGTTTCGTTCAATGGAAGACCACCAGAATCGTTTGCTTGGAATACACCAGGATACACACCAGTGCGAGGGGGAAGACGTCCAGTTAATAATGAGGCTCTGCAATAAAACAATAAAGTTGATGTTTATACTGTCTGGGTAATTAAATAAATTTGTGAAAAGGAGAACAATTCAGGAAAAATGTGGAATTTCCAAACGTGCTAAAACCATCATACTAATAAAAAAAATGTAAAAGGCTGACAGCTAAATGCACTAAACTAAACTAAAATGTGAAAAGGTAGTCATTGAATGTATTGTTCTTTGTAAGCCCAGTGAATTTAAAAAATCAAATTAATAGATATTGAATATATAATATAATATAATAATAATATTTATTGCATCCATAGAAATACAATCTTTCTATCAGTCTACAGCAATATAGTAATAAAATGAAGTTGAGTTTGTTAATAATAAGATAAAAGTAACTTAATGAAAGTACCATGTAATGAGTTTATAAAGAATTTTCATTTTTGATTTCAAAAGATCTGTAAATATACTTCCCTATTTGTTTAATTATATTTTCGATATTATTGCTCATCCGATATATCAATGTTTTTTTTTTATTATCTATTTCTTTAGGGAGTTAATATTTTCCTTCATTTCGTCTTGATAATTGTTGTAGAGATGACAATCTATGAAGAAATGTAATTCATCTTCAGTTTCATTTTGAGAACAGTTTATGCAAGTTCTATTTTCAATTGAAGTTTTTGGTTAAGTGTGTCTTCCTGTTTCAATAGCACGGTTATGGTTACCGGTTCTAAATTTACATAAAGTGACTCTTTCTTTGAAGGGAAGTACAGATAAATATGGTTCACAAGTATAAGTATATTTAAACATTACATATGTTCTTCAGCTTTGTTTTTTCTTTAAGGCATTCTTTCCAGAACTCAATGTAATCCTTTTTTAGCACATTCATAATTTGTTTTGAATCCTGTGTTAAATTGTCTCTTATTCCAGATTTCTTTAATTTCTGAATTGAAATACCTCATGATAAGTTTGACTTCATGTGTTCTTGAAATGCTAGTTTTGTTAAATTATTTTCTGGAAAATCCTAAATTCTAGACCAGTAATTAATAAGATTTATTTTAATATCAACAAGTAATGGAAATTCTCTCAGCTCTGCTCTACATGCAGTATTTGTGGAAAATTTGTTTAGATTCAATAGTTGTTTTCAAAATTTTAGATGAACTTTTTCTGTTGATGTTTTATCCCATTTATTGCTATCTAAGATTTCCATTCCCCAGATTTCTGCACCATAATAAGATAGGTTTTACACACGACTTGAAAATAGGAATAGCTGTTTTGCAGTCAGTTTCTTTTGGCAAGTATTTTGACATAACATATAAAGGTCTGAGTGCTTTATCTGCCATATTTTTCCTTGCTTCGTTGAATTTACCATTTGCCTGTATTGTTACCCCCAGATACGTATATGAATTGACACAAGTACTATTTTTATCCTGATAGTAGAAAATCTCCTTAGTCTTTAATAATTTTTTATTGAAAATATTTTTTTTTTTTGTTTATATTAATTTGTAGTTTCTATTTAGTGCAGTAATCATTAAAAATATTTAGAGACTTTTGCATACCACTATTTGTTGTTGGTAATCTTTTAGGACATTATACAGATCATTTACAAAAATATTGAAAAGGCTTGGACTCATGATACAACCTTGCTTCACCCCTTTTATTGTTTGAAACAAGGGTGATACTTTTTGGCCAAAACGTATACATGATTTTGTATTAAGGTACATGGTTTTTAGAATTTTATACAGATTTTCATTAATCCCATTTTTGAGCAGCAATTTATAAAACAATGAATGCAATGCACTGATTTTTAAACCTTTAAAGTAACTGAAGATCTGCATTTGAAAGAAAAATAAATAGATAATGGATTTTTTTCCTGGTCTTATTTAAAATAAAATTTTATTTTTGTTTGTTGACGACAAATAACCCCCACCCCTATTTTAGAAATGGTTGAGTAAGAGCAATTTGTAAACACTGTTTTCTCGATATATGTATATATGCTTCGGTTGTGTGGACGAGGGGGTAAAGATTTCGTTTTAGTCAAAAACATATTTAGCTTCAGTTTTAACTTTAAAATTATAGTATTTTACAAATTTCTCAAATTGTGTACCTGGAAGGGCTGCATACCGGGCTACCCGCATAAAACTGTGTAAGCAGCAATCCATTCGCAGCCAGTTTGTCTAAATGCGGCGTGGACGTCGTCGGATGGCCATAACATCCAAGATCACCATACCCTACGTCGTCAGCAAATAATATCACAATATTTGGTTCTGCAGTTTTACATTTGTCTATAAAATACTGCACAAAAACCGCGAACAACTGTATCCGCCAGAAAAACATTATTGTCAGAAGACTGACTCGAAGTTTCAGATTGGTTCAAGCCCCTCTAAGCAAGGGATTAAAATTAACTGGAAATTTAACATTTCAGTCGATAGATGGCGCAATAAAAACTAATACTGAATTGATCACGAGGAAAGACAACTGCATATTGAACAGATTTTACAAGCACTCAAATGCCTAGAGTTTAAATTATTGAAGTCATAGAATGTACTATATACATGTATATGTATTATTTTAACTTGAACAAAGATGTTTAATTATTGTGGTCAATGTTTTTTCTAAAAAATAAATATAACCTGTTTTTGTATATGTATATGTTTACCAGTTTATTTGTATTTTTTTCCAATCAAGAATGAAAAAAGAAACTCTGATATTACATGGGAAGATAATTTGAAATTGACGACAACATAAATATGAAAGTCTATTGAATCTGATTTCACAATTATGGTATATCTAAAGAATTATTTGTGAATACTGTTATGTAGTCTATGCCCCCTTTTGCTCATCTGAGACAAACCATTAGATACTCAAGGCGATGGCAGAATTGATCCTACATAAATCAATAACGAAAAAAATCTGCAAGCCTATTTCTTAAATATCACACACAACAGAAATAAAAAAAAAAAAATTACAGTGAATTCATCATTGAAAACAAAAATCAGCACAACACTAAGTGAAGGTAAAAACAAATATTTGGCACAGTTTTTCTGCCACGCCCCAAAGTTTCTAATGGGTCCATCCTTAAGTGAAAAACAAGCAAACTTGTAATAGTTTGTTTAAAGAGATATTATAAATATAAATGTTTCAATATGTATTGTTCGTCAATGGGAAACTGAATGTGGTTTGTGCAGTAAGTGAACAAAAAAACAGTCTTACTTAGATATTTAAATAAAGTTGCAGCACTTATTTCTGGAGATATTATAAACATTGAAACTTTTAAGACTGGTTTTAAAGCGCAACAGTGTTTGATATTCTACAACTAAGGCATACTGCATTTGCTTTATGCCTTATCCAGTTTACCATAAGTTAAAAGCCTAGTTTAATTGTTATCGAGTGAATATTTTTGAGACATATTATATTCCTTTTAGTAACTAGATTGACCATTTTAAAGTTTTAAATTTTCCGGCAACTATTTTGGTGCAATATTTTGCAAATTTACATGTTTTTTTTCTTAACATTTCTGGACCAGATGAACATGGAACTCTATAGGACTTGATCAAGATTTTATTATTGCAAAATTTTGCATATTACTTCGTAACATTTGACTTTAGAGTTAAAAATTAGAAAATCACAACATGAATACCCAAACTATTCCTAAAAAAACATGATACAAATCAAACAAACTGGAAATGTCAAATTTCTGAATAAGACATCACCCATAATGTTGACTTGCAGAACATGAGATATAAGAATACTGGTACGTAATAATTAACACCACACACACACAGACACACAGACAGACAGACAGACAGAACCAATGAACACCATCTATAATATTGTAAGTATTTATTGCAGTTTGAGGATTGCTCCCTGAGCATGGCAGTCATTAAGTTAAACAACATGGATATAAATATCTGATTATTAAATTGAGGTGAAGATAATTCATCAGTTCTCAATGTAAATATACATGATTCTTGCATTAATCTAATAGCAAAAAATCTTTATAAAACCATTAACAATATAGCATTATTATAACAAAATATATTCCTTAGGACCCAGCTGCACATTTGAGACCCATTTTTTTTTCATATTTTTTAAAGTTCACATCAGTTGCAACCAAATTGGGAATGTTACATTTCAATCTATATTATTCCGTGTTGCAGCAAATAACTGTTGGAAGTTAATCCAAATATACAGCTACATTACTAGTAATTTGTAAAACAGAAATAGACCAGGTTTTAGAAAAAAACGGCAAATCAGTGACCACTATAAGTACAATTTTTGTACTTCAATAGATCCAGAAAAGTTGGTGCAATAAAACGTTTACAATAAAAATTATATTGTTCAGACTATGGTATCTGATTTTGTAACCTGGTCACATTTCAACTACAAATGTAACACATACGAAATGGTTGACATCCTATTTTATAGTATGTGTCAACCAAGATGATCCATTCATTGCATTTATATCCATAACCAAACAACCTTCAAATTTAGACTTGTTTTCAGCCATCTCAATCAAGACAGCGACAGAGTCGCACCAGCTTCAGTATATTTATTGATTCAAGATGACAAGCAAAGGAGGATCACGTTGGGCTAAGAAGGCTAAATGTCATCAGTCTGGATCTGCAGTCTTACAAAGTTATACTGTTCATCTTAAATAACATTCCAAAAAATGGTACATCCTTGCTCACAAATATATATATATATTACTGTACCTTGTGGACCCTGTAAATAAAACAGTATATGATAAACAGCAGGACAGAAAGATATAACGTAAGTACCGGGTACAATGTAGTTGGAGGTTGTTGTATTTTTAGATCCTACAAGCAGCCTGTCGGCTGAGATAGCTCCGCTGTTAGCAATGCATATGGCAATTAAAGATTAGAAGATATCATTAGAAAATGAACAAATCTGAGCGAGGTCCACATGTAGTACATATATGTATAATATATCAAAGCAATTGGACTTGCGGTTTTGAACAAGAAGTCGAAAATATCACTTTTTACCAAAAATTACAAAAATATTCACCAAAATTAGAGAATTAAAGATATCACTACAAAATGAACTAATCTGAGAGAGGTCCACATGTAGTACCTATATATGTAATATCAAAGCAATTAAACTTGCGGTTTTTAACAAGAAGTTGAAAATATCACTTTTTACCAAAATTACAAAAATATTCACAAAAATTAGAGAATTGAAGATATCATCATGAAATGAACAAATCTGAGAGAGGTCCACATGTAATACCTATATATGTAATATCAAAGCAATTGGACTTGCGGTTTTTAACAAGAAGTCGAAAATATCACTTTTTACTAAAAATGACAAAAATATTCACCAAAATTAGGGAATTAAAGATATCATTACAAAATGAACAAATCTGAGAGAGGTCTACCCAAGGTACATATACACCAAGTATCAAAGCATTCAGGCTTGTAGTTTTCAAGAAGAAGTCAAAAAAGTAAAACATTGACACGGACGACGCCGGACAATCACTCATATGATAAGCTCCGCTCGACAAAGTCGACAGCGGAGCTAAAAAGAGGAAATATAATGGACAAAATTGTGCCAAATGAAGCTAAATGCAAGTAATCAATAAACAATTATATGGTTGGGAATTTATTCCCAGTATAATACATGCGCTTATATTAGAGTTGCTCTTCTAATAGAGAATGTGCATTATGTAGACAGTGAGAAAAACCAAAATCTTATTAAATATTACCTTATTAATTATTTTCCAACCACCATCTGTACATCTCAACATGTACAACATTGTGGGAATGGATTACATCCCGGATTACAACAAGGTTCAACGTCAGGGTCACTTTTTTTTTTGAACTTCGCTCTCAGACCACACGACAGTTGATTCAAATCTCTTCTTAATGTCAGTGATTATTGTCAAGATAGTTGAATATTGAGGATCAGAATTCAGGTTGTAAATCTCTGATGGATCGTGGTGTAAATCATACAAAAGCGGTGGGTTATGGAGAGTTCGTTTTGCTGTCGGTCGGCAGTCTAAATCAGGATTTTCTTCCCCTGATAATCCAGAACCTTGGGTGTAGTAATGTGCTTTGTATTGCTTGTAGCGTACAGCATATACACCATATTGTGGGAATGCCTCACTGAAATAGTAGAAAAACGTCTTTCTTGGGCTCTGAAGGTGAAAAAGAAATGAATGAAACAATATTGTGATTTGCATGAAGTTATTATTTAATTTAATCAACTTTTGTAATTTTTTACGATATAAAACTTGCACAACATCAATTCTTGTGAGATCTTCATTGAATGTCACATTATTTGTATGCCCGAATTTTATAAATCATTGATACTACTTAACAACATAAATCCTCAATAGTCAGCCTACCTTTTCACTCTTAAACAGAACTGATCCAATGTCAACACCATCTATGGCGACTCTAGGTAGTGTACCATTGGTCAGTTTAACTATGGTTGGTAGTAAGTCTAAAGTACTTGCTAGTTCCATAGATCTACCAGGTTTAATCATACCTGGCCAGTATGCTATGCCCGGTACTCGCTGTCCACCTTCATACGTGGTACCTTTACCGCATTTTAACAGACCAGCATTACCACCACGGACCTCTCTTGTTAAACTTGGTCTGTAATGATAGCAACTAAATGAATCAATAAACTTTAAAGATATCCCTGGTATTCAACTCAACATACATGTTAGTGTTAGTAACATTGAGTTTCTATAGTTCTAGCTAGGGTTGAGTGTGTCCCTAAACAAGACTAAAATTTGAAGGTATCCAGTCACAAAATATCAATATCAGCATGTTGGCTAATGGGAAGAGAGTACTTCAAAGATAAATAAAGAATATATGTGGTTGTAGGTAACTTCTGAAGTCACAAACTAAAACATTGGAGCTTTTCTTTGTTTATAAAATGTGAATTCAAGATCACTTTATCAATATATGATTTTCTGATGCGTAGAATTAGCATAATTTGTTGTGTCCAGGAAAATGTTGTGTCTGTGATTCGCCAAAATGATTAGGCACACTGAAAGTCCTTTAATCATATCTATTGCTGGAACATTAATCAAGCTTCAGGAAAATGTGCATTAGTGAGTACTTCTAGTGGCTAATCATAAGGAGTTTTTGTCGTGGATAGTTTTGTATTGTCCTTACCCATTGTCAGAAGTAAAAAACACAAAAGTATTATCTTCCACTTTTTGCAGTCGTAACTCCTGAATAATTTGTCCCACAGCCCAGTCTAATTCCGCCAATGAATCACCGAATGTTCCCCTCAGTGTGCTATTTCTGAAATACTTCCCAGCAAACTGTGGATGATGAGTGTGCTGGAAAGGTAGATAGAGAAAAAACGGCGTTCCACTTTTTGCATTCCCTGATATAAAGTTCTTTGCTTCAGTACTGTAGACCTCTGTTAAGGTGGTCAGATCAACAGGTTGTTGCACTATTGTGTTGTTATGAAAAAGTGGGCAGGATGCGTCATACATTCGACATTGATCAAAGCATGGATCTGACGGGTAGAAACATTTCAGACATGGACACATGTCATGAGAGTATGGCACACCGACATAGCTATCAAAGCCATAGTTTGTAGGTAAATATTTCTGATTCTGGCCCACACCAAGATGCCATTTACCAATAATGGCCGTACTATATCCTAGTGGTTTCAATACAGCGGCAATGGTAGTTTCATTGAGTGGAAGTCCACCTGTTGATGACGCACTGAACACTCCTGGCCATATACCAGTACGTGGAGGTAGTCTAGCGGTAAGTAAAGAGGCCCTGTAAGTAAAATACAATAAATAAAAAGGTAATTCGGGTAGGGATATTCACTTTTAGTCTTTCTAATCCAAAAAAAAAAATAGTCTCTCGGCTAATGAGTAGAAGAAACACAGTTCTACTATTATCCACTGGTATGCTTACCGAAACAAGAAAAGTATTCTAGCCCAGGACAAATCCAGCAAAGATTTGTATATCGTAGTTGCTGCACTATAAATACCATGACTGACTGAAATGGAGATACTAGTACCCGTCCTCATTTTCATTAGATTCCACATTTACAGAGCGATAAATTGTCAAAGTACTTGATAAATAAGGGGGCGTGGCACCGATAGTAAAAACTTTTCTTTCCTAGAACTGTTCATGTATTGTCCATGAATCATTATTATACCGCAACACCATATTTTTCACAGTTCAAAGTTCAAAGTGAAGTGTGACATGTACCTAGATGGGCTGCACACAGAATTAGCAGAGTAAAATTGTGTAAACACAAGTCCATTCGCAACCAGTTGATCAATGTTTGGACTGTAAGAGGTCGGGTGACCATAACTCGGCAAATCTCCATATCCGAGGTCGTCAGCAAAAATTATTACAATATTTGGTTTCTTGTGCACAGTTTCCTCTGCGCTACTTGCGTTAAAAGTTATTAAACATATAAACAGTATCTTGGAGACGAGACCCAAATCAACCAAGGGGGCAGCCATGTTGGAAGTTGTTATGCACATGCGCAATTCTAAAAGCAAAATAGAAAAAATAAAAACACCCATTTGATTGGCTTATTTTTCAGAGCAAGAATGATGTTGGCCAATCCAGTGATGTGGTTTATATGTCCCTGGGAGATACATTCCACTTCGTAAACAAATCATCACTGCGTAGACATATACTGATACAGGCGTAGTTGTTACAGAGAAATATCATTTGAAGACCATGGCCGATGATGATTTTGATTTCACTACCAAGAAGAACAGGGTAAGAAGTGTAAAGGCGCTAATTATTCAGCTGAAAGATGGGAATTAAATACGTAAACCACGGAGACTAAAGGTCGTGATTGTTTCAATGGCTGAACGGTTAGATCACCTGGACTTGGCGTAAAGTGTCTCACCACATCATCATGCTCACAGTTACTTGTGTACTGAAAATCCAAATTAATCGATCAGCACAATTTATTATTGATTTTTAAAGAAACTATTGATTATTATTTTTCGAGAGAGCAATATATAGATGAAAAATCAAGAAAAAATCAATAACAAATAGTACTGATAGATTTATTTGAATTTTCAGCCCTCAATTCAGCCCTATGCACATGTCTGATGTTTCAACAGACATGTACACAGGGTTACCCTCAAATGGGATCTCACTGTCACTTGAGAACTGAAAATAATTGTATTTATTAAAATTGTGTTTATTAATTTTCGGACTATTGTGCTACATATGACGCATCATGTTATCATGTCCTGTTCGATATGGGACCCATAGCGACGTGTAAAATACATTGTCTGTTTACTCGAAATTCAAACATGCGATGACTTTAGTGCTTTAAAAATAACTGACAGGAAAAATTAATATTTGCTCATTTGCCATTCATTGAATGTGCTAGTGTCATGCATGTAAAGAGATAGAAAACTTCATTGAGTGAAATACTCTGATGATAATGACAAGGATACTTACCATACTAATTAAACATTAAATTATTCGTTTAATAAATACCTTTATGAAAAACTTTTAAATAAAATATGTTAAATATCTATGTACATTTTGTGATCTTCCATTTTGGAAATTGACACACACCTTTTTTTTCACAATATATGTGATGCCGTACTTTAGAAATTGCTTATGAGATATATATATACATGCGTGACAATGACCAAAAAAAATACAGAAATAGACTTTGTTTTGTGTTCATACTGGTGTGCATCAAAATGTTATATGTTAACGTAAAATAACAGAACTCTGGGATGAAATGTGTTGCATAGAATATATGCTGTTACCGGTACAAGGTTTGGCTTAGCCGTGGGTTTTCGCTGCGTTTAAGAGACTTAAATTTGAATTTGGTTGCGTATTCACACCCTTAAATGATGCAAAACCCACAACTAGGTTTGGATAGCATTGTCATTTGCAAGCCTCCAGGCATGCAATACATTTTAGACTAGTTGGCCTTGCTTACAAATTGTTTTGTGATTTCAAAAATTGAACCTAAAAGGTGGAGTGATTTGTGTCCTATAATTAAGAGAAACAATTGAAAAAATGAGACAACAACTTGTTATTAACAAGTAACCTGTAGAATACTGTGTGGGTAATATTTTTTATATTGATTTTTGTTGCATTTGCATTTGCAAATAGTTACCAAACAATGGGAAATCTATAGGATTGAATATATCCCACAGCTGGCGTCACATGCATTGTTCATAGTTCATATGGTGCTTACACCAGGATTTAATTACAGCACCTAGGCGGTATGTGGTTACAGCTTAATGTTCGAGTAATCGCAAGAATTTGACATGACAATAGAAATTCATTAAAGACTGGCACTCCCATGCAATTAACAGCGAGTGAAATTCCTGGGATTGAAACATATATTTTGAAGTCACTGATGTAGGCAACGAATAACTGCAAGTTGACATAAAGACGAGGTAGTTTATTTAATCAGTGGTCAACTAGAGGCTGAAATTATAATTAATTTGTTTATTTCAATTTCTCCTGACGTCAAATAGAATACACTGGTGAAACACGGTAGTAACTGTGGGTGAAAGGATGTTTTGGGGTGTAGTTTACATTGTATATGGAGTGGTAGGGTCGGGTGTAATGTGTTCATTTCCAACTATTATGAAGTCACGTAGAATTTCACTTAATTTATTTTTGCTGACATGTTTTCAAGCATTACATGTGAATCCAATTTTTATTGCACTGTGTCTCAATAGAGTATGAAGGAAATGGCATATTCACTGGAATTTATTTCAGGGGAAAAATGTTTTCAGTGGCTTTCATTGCGTATGGAAGTTATTTTCACGAGTGATGCGGTGTATCCTGCTGCCGTACTTTCACGAGCCAAGCCACGGGGAGGGTGTGGGGTTCTGTTATTATACATATGTCCCATATTTGATTATTTCATATTAAAACAAAGAACGTGCAACAAACCGGGATAGAAATTTAGATCGGGGAACCCAATTGCCCATTAACGCTTGTCAGTGTAGAACGCGTGTCGCTGTACGTATGAAAATAAAATAATCAGACGTCTAATTTGGGTCATTGTCCGAATAAATAACTCGTGGATGTTTAAGCGCGGTGGTCATAGCGTAGCGAGTGTTCCAATTTCATGTAAATAAACAATGTATTTTACACGCGTTGTATACGTCGCTATGAGTCCCATATCGAACAGGACGCGACACGACGACTGTCGCCCTTTAGTTGGGACCACGACAGAACCAGAACTTAAACTGGGCGACTACGATACACGGTTGATGTTGAAGTTAAAAGTTCCTCCACAGATCTGTGCATTGGCAAACATGCCGTGCAACTGCGGTACTCCACTGACGGAATGACTTTCGTTGAAATCGGTCGTCGCTGACTCGTGAGCTGCACACTACAACCTCGTTTGTGATGTTGCTTGCTGGTCGTGGATAGACTGAGTCTTGGTTACCGGTTAAATTTTGCTAATTTGGCATTGGTAATCTTTATTTGGAACTGAGTAACGCCGCAACGCCGCCAGCAGAAACCTCATGGTATATCGATGTTGATGGTTGCGGCTCCATATTAATCAGAGATTTTACTGCGGGTCCAGGCAACATGCCAAAAATGCTGGTGAACGATTTGAACCTGACAAAAATACTTGAAATAGATACCAGGAAGGGGAGGGGGGTAAAAGAAAAGTTATATAACATTTTATTATTCATAATTTATTAAAATACATAAGTTTGTCCAACTCCCTGTGATACAACACC